TCGCTCTCAAACAAATCTCCCACACATCCGCTCAGATGTGCATGTGAAGTTTATGAACAGAAGGACCACTTTGGCGTGGACTCGAAAAAACAGAGACATTTAATTGAGCTGTTTAGAGGAGATAATGGGCGGGCAAAAGCGTTGGCGACGGTTGTCAACCTGCAATTATCCCATGTCACCACCGATTCTCCCGGTGTCCTCCCGTCAATGGCCCCTTCGCTCTATCTCCGATATTTCCGTATCGTCTATAAGCTATACCATATACACCACGGTTACATCATGTTCACACATGTATCGGGTCGGACCCACTCACAACACACAAACCAATGTATCGATCTAGCCATTGAGCCTACAATCGACCATATCCACCTTTTTAAACCGGATTTTTGGCCCTGGACCCATCTCCGAACCCTCCGCGCCATCCGAGCCCTCCACGCCATTCGCGTCCATCCCTCCGAGTCCATCCCTGCGAACCCATCCCTCCAAGTCCCCATCCTCGCTATTAGCCACACTAATGGTGTTATCCGGGGTACACTGGACGCATGTTGCAAGTTTGCGAGTCAATTTGTGTCCCATATTCCCACATTCCCGTCAGGTACCCCTTACTTGCAAGGTCTATTCAGCTGCCGCCTCCATTGCAACTCCACCACCGTGAGCTGGCCTTTCTTCAGCCCCACGTGAACAGAGAGTTTACCTTCCTCGGTCTTGTGGAGACGGCACTTGGCCGAGAAATCGGAGCCGGAACGAGCGTCGCGGTTAGGGCTGCGGGTGCTCGGATATCGACAGGAGTCGGGGAGTTGGAGTTGGAGTGGGCGACTCGTGGCCGTTTCCTCGCACGGATGAAAAGTTCCAGAACATTCCACAACCTTCCGTCAACAGACGGGGGAGCGAAAACGGGGCCCGTCGTGTCACGTGACCGCACGAGATGTCGGCGCCACAGGCAGCGAACAAAGCCAACAACCCGTACAACCTGTGGGTGCTGTACTGTACAGTAGTTGTACTCGTGGTTCCACTGCAACCACGGTTCTGGCTCAAAGTTACCCGGCCCAAGTCTAGACCGCTTTACTAATAACTGCAACTAATGACTGACTTATAATTGACATTACAAAGCAGCAACCAAGGAGCATATATAGGGAGCCAGGGCAGGCAACGACAAGGACAAACGACCATCCATCACGAGAACCGTTGCCAAATACCACATATCACAATGTCCATGCAAACCACCCTGGCGAAAACGGAATATCTCCCTCTCAAGGAGGTTTCCAGACCCATTCCGCCCGTTCTGGACGAGGAGAAAATCTCCAAGATGATCGAGACGCTCAAGGCCCATGAACACAAGTCCAGCGAGTCGGACGAGTCTGCCTTGCCTCCTCCAGATGTGTTGGTGATTCGACGAAACGGAAAGACCCACTATTTCGCCTTTGGAGGCTGCCACCGATTCCAGGCTTATGACAGGTTAAACACGGACAAGATTCTTTGTCGGTTGATTCCGTGCACTGTTGACCAGCTCAAGTTGTATCTTGGATCCAGTGCTGAGACCTTGCTTGAGAGAATCTAGAGATGTTGAAGACGGACACCACCAACTCGACAATAGCGCCATTGGTGGACCTTCCACTGAACGATTGATGACTAATGACATGATGTGATACGATATAGATAATGAATGGAAAATACGATTACAAGGGATTTCATGTGTCAGTGGTCTCCAATGCATTCTGTAGGTGTTGAGGGAGAACCATTGGGGTATTCAACCGACAGTGTCAATGATTGGGCGAGTGTCGTATTGTACTGTATGTACCATATGTACCTAACTCATACCAAACTCGTAGACCCTGTACGAGGGGACTTGAAGCGTCTGAGAGTCGGCTTGAGTGTACGAAGCGTCTGAGAGTCGACTTGAGTGTACGAAGCGTCTGAGAGTCGACTTGAGGTATGGCTTTCAGATATAAATACTTCTGCTTCTCTACGATGCCCGGCCCGGTGATATCAACCAGACATGGAGTATGACCGTTGCTTTCAGGATCCGCGGTGCCAGGCAGAAACATGTGCTCCTGTCATCATGTATCAATTAAGCTTATCGAGCTCGCTCATGTCTTCCTTCTCTGCCCGCGAGCGGTAGCTCCAACAAGGAATCCAAGTCGCGTGTGTATACATTTCGTTACGCTGATTCCAAATATCCAATCATTTCGTCTCTCAGACCTCTCCCATGTCCGCTACCACCTCTCCAACTATTAAGCTTTCGATATGTGCAAGGCTCACCTCCACCTATGAACATCGCGACATTGGAGCTAGTCTCATCCATAATGAAGCTGAGAATACCAAAGTTCGAAAACACGCCGTACACGCCGACACACACGGACGTGGCCTCCGCCGCCAAGGCCCTGTCGCGCTTCCTGACGGCAAAAAACACAAAAACGGCAATTCTAACCGGCGCAGGCATCTCTACAGCATCAGGCCTTCCAGACTACAGAGGACCCACAGGAACATACACAACCAACCCAAACCACCAGCCGACGCTGTATCACGAGTTTGTGTCTGACGAGCACAAACGCAAGCGGTACTGGTCACGTGCGTGGATCGGCTACGAGCAGGCGTTGAAGTGGGCCCGTCCAAACGTGGCTCATGAGGTGTTGACAGGCTGGCTTAGGGGCGGCCACATCTCGGGCCTCATTACCCAGAACGTGGACGGCTTACACAAGCTGAGCCAGGTGAGTGGCGGTGACATTGTGGACAATGTGAACGTGTCGGCTGATCTGAGAGCTGGTCGAGAGGTTCCGGCACTTGTGGAACTGCACGGATCGGCCTATAGAGTGCATTGTCTGAGTTGTGGAGACCAGACATCACGAGAGGATTTCCAAGACAGAATGGCTAAGGACAATGGATGGAGTAAAGACGATGCTGTGGCCGGGACTGCCATGACTGGGAGAGGATTTACCACGGACAAGACTACCGAGAGTGATCTGGCACAGTTTGTAGATCCGGGAACGAGGGTGGAAACAAACACGGGTGCCACAGTCACTCCTGGGGGTTCTCCGACTTCTTCCAATCCATTTCTCGCATCTCTAGACGACTCGACTAGCAAATCTCGGCTTGATATTTCTGGAAACAAGCTGAATGAAGCTGCTCCTGGTAGACAACAGCAACTCAACGCGGATGGAGACGCGGAATTGGACGTGGAAATCGACTACGACAGGGTCGCCATTCCGCCATGTCTCAACTGTGGCGGGGTTTTGAAGCCCTCCATTGTGTTTTTTGGAGAAAGTGTGCCTGAGGCGGATCGGGCTCGCGCACGTGATCTGCTGGAGTCGTCCGACCAGCTGCTGGTTATTGGCACGTCTCTGTCCACTTTCTCAGCCTTTGATCTTGTCCGACAGTTCTACAAACAAGGCAAAAAGGTGGCGGTGTTGAACAAGGGAGGTGTCCGAGGCGAAGGCAAGGACTGGGAGGCAGATGTGCGACTCGACGGGGATATCGGAGGGGTTTTGGAGAAGGTCAAAATGTGATTGTTGTGGAGGGGCTTACAGCATTATAGAACGATACATTGCGTGGTTGGGGTTTTAGGTGATGAGAGAGCAGTGAGCACTTGCAGCCATCACACAGGAAGACACCACTAGCCAGCGCCAAGATTCATGTCCCCAGAGCAGATGATACTTTACACTGGTGTCTAATCTTTGCAGGGATATGCTACTGGTACAAAGCGCCAGCATTCAGTTGACTGACGTTCTCAATCAGTAAAATCTTTCGCACTACTGCACATACGATACCATTGATTTACGCCCGTGCTCAGCAGTTCCCCCCCAAAAGGCGCACTTTTAGCACAGTCACCACTTCCCCAAACGCTTCACAAGATCCAAACGCCCCCACTACAGTACAGTAGATCCAAACACCACTAGACACTTGACCTACAGTACGGTTTGGGGAACTTGAGGAGATGACGTTGTGTGAGCACATTTTTGGAGCAGTGCAGCCACTTCAGAGAGCTGGAATTGCTACTGGACTACACGAGCGGCCTTTTCAGACGCCTGTCAAAAAAGAAACCCCTCCGATATATGAAAAAATGCAGCTTTAGAAGCACAGTTACAACGTGCGGTAGTGCGTATGTAGATGTAGCAGTCACAATTTTTGGGTTAAAATTTCGCCTGCGGATGCCCTTCCTAACATTATTAGTTTTTGTTAAAAAATAAATTATTTTCTCTTTTTAAATCCTGTAAAAAGTTGTTGTTTTTTTCTGAATTTTTCTGATGAACTTTTCAGAGTTTTTTCAGAGTTTTTTTTTTTTTTTTTCTCCCAGGAAATAGACACTTGAAAATGGCGGCAAAATGTGTATAAAAACGAACCAAGGTCGCTTTTGCCAAGCCCAAAAAAGACCTCCACGACCGTTACAACGACCCCACCCACTATCATCTTCCCCACTCGGCCCCACCACCCCCACCATGATACCCCAGTCGGGTGTTACCAAGTGGTGAAACCTTTTTTTTTTTTTTTTTTTTTTTTTTTTTTGCCAACATAAATTTTGCCGGCATTTTTTTAGTATTTTTTTAGTATTTTTTTAGTAATGTTCTTTTTTTTTTTTTGCTGTGTGGTTTTTTTGCTGGTAATTTTTTTTTTTTTAGTAATTGTTTTTTTGTTTTTTTTTTTAGATTTTTTCACACTATTGTAGAATTTTTCAGAGTTAGCATTCATGGGGGAACGAGTGGGTCGAATTTTAAAAAGACAAAAAAAAGCAAAATCGACGCCTTCATAAAGACTGTGGAAATACACAACCCCCCCCATGCACATGGCACATGTACGCATCTGTAAGCCGACTGCCGATGAAAGCCGAATTTTTCCAACGGTCAAGGGTGTGCGATTATTTCTCTCTCTTTTCTCCCCTCACGTGACCTCCAGCTCGACTTGGAGCTCTTTTGTTTTCTTCTCTTTTTTTCCGCGATTCTCCGTTGTCATTAGTGTCACTCTTAGATCCTTTTTAATAGCTATTTTCAAGGCTCTAATTTAGACTGTCAAACGTTCGGGAGAATACGGCAAAGGTTAGGGAGGGAGGAGACGAGGGCGAGAGTGGTGAGAGGCCAGTCCGGGAGAGAGAGGAGTGCGAGTGCGAGTGCGACCACAACGACAAAGAAAGACGTAGTTGGAGACTAGGCGCTAGCTATGCACCAGCGTTGAAAAAATGCACGGGACAGTGCGAGCACCAAGTACTCTCTCTGCTACTCTCTCCGGCTTGTATATCATGATATATTAATGTGAGGTCTATGTACATAGAAATAAATAATGCAGATGTGAGTGGAGACGGCGTGCGGGCGGTTGGTGTCGGTGTTGCCGTCATGGACGATGGAGATGGGCCCATTCTGTCTAAGGCAAAGAGAGAGCCTGGTCCGATGTTCCGGAAGATGCATATGCACAGAGCCACTTTCGAATCAAGGTGCAAGGAGCCGATGTGGTCGTATGCCCCATATGCGTCTTATGCACCGTATGTGCCATATGTGCCATATGTAGTGCCGTTGAGGATTGGGTTTCGGCGTCTGGTCAGAGAGGGGAAGTGACAGAGAGAGGTGACAGAGAGAGGTGACAGACTTCAGGCTGGGCCCAGTTCCACGGAGCAATCAGTGTTGTGGCGGATGGTTGATGGAACTAGCGATACTGGATGATCTGTCGCTTACAAAGAAAGGTCCTCCAGGTCGTCCATCATGATACCCATCTCGGCCTTTTTGGCCGCCACCTCGAGCAGCGAAAAGTCCAGCTGCTGGGGGAACGACTGCGCGTTCATCTGGGGCGACGGGGGAGGAGGCAGCAGGTTGTTGTTCTGGAACACTGGTGAGCCGGGCGAGGACGAGTATGAAGAAGAGGTTTCGGAGTATGCTGGCGAGTTCATTGTGGGGTTATGGGGGTTGTGGGGGTTGTTACTGGGGGATTCTCGGGTTGTCGGGTCCTTGGGTTCTTGGGTTCTTGGGTTCTTGTTGTCACTGGGTGTTTGTAACAGAGGAGGATTTTGTTACTTGATGTTTGTAACTTTGGCATCTTTTGGAGGACAGGCCGGATATATATATACATGTCGTCCCCGGATGGTCTTCTGCCGCTGCGCATAGGGTTACGGTTTGAGCTAGTTTGGAGGGTCTGACTTTTGGGTTTCCAAACTCTCCGCCGTTGTACCGAGCGCAGCAGGAGGGGCTACGATTGGGGAGGCGACTGGAGGCGGCGATGGGGGCTCGGTTTGGGGCGGTTTGGGGTCTGGGTCTCCTCGCTCGGTGGCCAGCACCATTTTGCACTCTTTGGATTTCCCAAAAACGCCGCGCTTTACGCCCGGCCAGCTGCCTCGGCAACTGTGGCCTGCACACCACCACCACACGACTGGGTCTGTCGATCGCTGAGACAGAGCAATGTGGGGGGAGACACTACGGGGCAGCAAATAAGGCGAGGAAAAAGGCAAAGAAAAAGGCAAAGAAAAAGGCAAAGAAAAAGGCAAAGAAAAAGGCAAGGAAGAAACCGACCGATGTGAGGCGAGGCGACAAGCTAAAACTCGGGCGGATAAAACTGCCCACGGTTGAGTGAGCACATTGACGGGTTGGCTGATTGTGGGTTGCGGATTCCGGATTGCGGATTGCGGATTGCGGAATGGTGGATTGCAGATTGGCAGGTTGACGGATTTGTTGACTGGTCCAGCTCGAATTCACATCAATATCCGGATGCGTTGGTCTACTCTGGTCGATTGCTCACCGTCTCATTCACATGGACTTAGAGTTCTTTCTACACACGTTGACGGGAAAAAACAAGTGCAACGACAAGGGTCTGCGGACAATCACGATCGACACTGATAATGTGAGAATAAGGGGAAAAGGCCCCGAACCAGGCGAGAAGGATGGATTTGCAAACCGAAAAGCAGGAAAAAACACATGATCTTCAAAAAGAGGGGGACACTCGCATCAGGCATACAATCCTACAATCATACAATCATACAATCATAAAATCATACAACCATCAGCACGGCCCCACAATGTGCCTGGTTACCCCTCTCCTCCGCAATCCAGTCTTATCTCTCTCTCTGCTATCTTCCCCACACCGACACCGTGGAGAATCAGTGCCATGCGTCGTATCGCACAAACCGGCTCCATCACGGTGTCTTAGGTCCGACTCGGTCAAAGGAGCGGGAGACCCGGAACCGACCGGGTTCCTGATTGGGACTTCTTCAAAGGCTATTTTTCGGAACTGGAAAAAACGGCCTGGCTTAGTAATGGGCAAAGAGAGCGCAGTCTGGAGAGGCGCCGTACCACCTCACGGGGTGATTGTCACGTGATTAGAATTCTTGTCGTCCACTTCTCTCGTTGCACAACCATCACTCTCGTGTCCCCGCACAACCCTCCTGGCTCCCCCGCCCCCCCGGCTGCCATCCCCACAAAGTTTATTATTATCACGTTCGTGCAGCGATTAAGTCGGTGACGCAGAGTCACGTGCGATCGTGTCGATGAGCCACCACGTTGGACACGGGAAAAAGGTGATAAAAAACACACATATGGCCCTGTGACCAAGGTCGGGTGATATTTCGGTCCAGGAGGTGATCTCGTTCTCGTTTTTCGTTTCTCGATTCACGTTCACCACTTTTTGACTCATGAGGTGACTGGAGTTGATGGGCCGAGGTTAAAATGGTGAAAATAGGCAAAATGAAACTGGCGATTTTTAACGATTTCAACGAGAAAGGGTGTCGTTCTGATATTTTAACGACAACGAGCCAATCACCAGGAATTTTTGGATATTTTTCCGATTAAATAGTGATTATATTTATTTTCTTTTGGTTTATTTATTTATTTTATTCTTCCATCTTTTAAATTTTATTTTTACGGTTTTAAAATAGCTTGCTCAATTCTCGTGTGGAGCAGATTGCACCACGATAATCGACGGGACTGTGAAAATCGGAGGCGGAAAAAAGGTTGAGAATATCCCAGAAAAATCCCAGAAAATCGGCACTAAAAAAATAAAAATATCTAATGAATGATTCATTACCAAAAAGTTGTTTTATTTGTTTATTTTTTGTACTGGATTCCACAGATCTGGGTCACCTATTTGACGTTGGAATTGCCCAGAACACCGCAGTTTGGCCCAGCTGGAATGACCACGACGTGTTTTTCTATTTACTTGTACAACACATGGAACCAGCCGTGTGACCAGACCGGGACCTCGATCCGCGTGTTTACTGGAGTGATACGATGACCATCATCGGGAAAATCGGGGCATGAGCTGATATCAGCTATCAGACTCGGAGTGAAGAAGAGATAGCCTCGCCTGGTTAGTTTGCTGTGCTATAGACGTTATAGCAAGCTAGTATCGGACTTTTGTTGGCCATTATCACCTGAGAGTCAACTCCATGCTCTCCAAAGTCGACATCGCGCCACTGTTGCAAGCCAAGCAACGCAGCGTTGAACGTGTCTCACATACCTGTCTTATCTGAACCATGAGCCCGAGTTTGCTTGAGGTGAAACAAGCAACGTGAGCTTGGTGGGGGTGGCTGTGATGGTGTCCTTGGTGAGACATGGTGAGTGATGAGACATGTGAGTGATGAGACATGTGAGTGATGAGACTTGATGAGTAATCGGCACAGTACAGTCGGTGTTTGTACTCGTATGGCTGAATACAGACAACATGACTCCGGAGAACATGTCCATAGCAACAGTCGGACTGATGTTACTTGTATTGGTCATAAGACTGCGACTCTTCAGAACGGCCATTCAGAACTTCAACTGATCATTCTACAAGAAACTGGCCATCCAGGACAGCAGCCCACGCCTCTTGGCATGTCTGGATACCCCTGGGGCTTCAGGTGCGCAACTGTTCCTGTGATGCACCCCACCCAACCCTGAGAGGTCCCTGCCCGATCTCAGGGGTACCTAGACTCCAGGCTGTCGGGCAGAACTTATGCCTGGTCTATACCTGACCAATACCTGACTTGTGCCAGGAGGTAGAGCGGCCATGTAGGAGACAACGGCTCGCGGGTGAGGGTGAGGGTGTGGTATACTGTCGACAGGGCTGGCAAAAGGGGCTCGACAGGGGCACCGATGGTAGGGGTTGAGCAGTTTCTCGCCTACAAACAGGGAGATTCGCCACAGCAGGAATTCGCCATTGCAAGGAGGTTCGCCATTGTATGGAGATTAACATCATTATGAAGTTCGGTGTGGCCTCGCTAGAGATATTTAAAAAATTAAAAAAATCAAAAAAAAAATCAAAAAAATCAACAAAAAAATTAAACTCTACAAAATTCAATAATTACAGTTCTGTAACTGCATATATCTTTTTATAATCGAAACTTAATCTGAAATATTTGACATATTATAAAATAAAATAAAAAACAATATATGATAGAGAGCATTTATGAAGTCATAAAATGCTGCTGGATGAGTAAATCATTCCTGTATCGTCGTCGTATGTTTGGTACGGTATGGGTACATGGAATTAGACCGAGTGGAGTGCCCGAATCCTGCTCCAACGTCGTTTTTTTTGTTGTTGTTTTTTTTTGTTGTTTTTTTTTGTTGTTTTTTTTACAACCAATTGATCATTTTTGCATGGGTGATTTTGGTACCAAAATGCTCACAGTGAGTCCAGTAATAATTTGGCGACGTTCTGACCGCGTCCAGACGTGAAGAGCCTCGCCCAGACCTGTCTGTGACCGTCTTCATCAGTTCCAGAGCTGATCTCCGTTTCATTTCTGCAACATATTGCGACGGTTGGTTCCGCTTCAGCTGATCCGGACGCGCAAATCACCACCCATGGAGCAGGTTGAAATCCTGTTGAAGACCGTATTGCTTCTGTCGACGAGGCGTTGTTCGATCTCAAGGCGCAATGCCATGCGTCGGGAACAAATTATCAGCGCCCGAGCTCGCGCCAGCATCATACTAAAACCACTGATATCAGAATGAGATTATTGACAAGTTGAATCAATCAGCCGGCCCATTTTCCGGACCATGTCCGAGTGTTTGAGTGTCTACTGTGGCAGAACTCCGAGGAAGACTCGCTGGGTTTGCTCGAGTCGCTGGAGTGCTCCTGGTTTGACAGGCTCGAAACAAAAATGTTACGACAAGAAACCGGGTTAATTAACTCTCAGAACTAGTTCAAACTAAATACACTTGAGCGGTTCAGTGTATGACTGACTCCAGCTGTCGTATCGTCGTCTCAAGAGCTGTCTGGATTGGCCTGGTGGAGATACTTTGTCTTTGTCAATTGACACGAAATGATGTTGACTGAACTCGCAATTCCCTGTCTCAGTATGGCAGGTTCGGACTCCAAACAAGCCGAAAACTCCTCTGGGAAGCTGTGGTGGTCAACAACAACCGACTCTTTCGATCCAGGGTGATTTCGGGCCCGTCGTACAGAGAAGGAAAACAACGACGATACCGTGATCACTCACGGGAGCATGTTTTGAACCAACCCTCTGTTCAAACAGAATGCCAATACATGTATAATGTCTCCAGTGCAGTAGTAGCTACAGTAGGAGTTGTGGACTAGGGGCACTCATTGAGATGGGTTTGGTTGTTTCTGCCTTCAGTGTGGTTTTGGATGATATTGTCCTCCAACAAGGAATAGAGACGGACCGACTACTCATCCGGAGCCAGACAGTACCGGTGATAGCGGCTCAAGGAGTAGCAGTTCCAGAGTAGGCGTGGATCGAGTCAGAGTCTCCAGTCTGCGACACTGTCTCATTAGCCCTCTCTTTTCCTGAGTCATTCTGAACTCTTTGAATTCAGTCCTACCGGCTCGTTGTCACTTGATTTCTCAAGTATACCTGGCCGATCCGTTCCTGCTGGTTCTCAGCTTCATTCGCAATCCAATTGATGTCAGGGTGCTCTCGGGGGAATTCCGGTGCCAACACCTGGTTGAAGATGCGCCTGATCAGCCACTCCACGATGCGAATGTCTCCGAACACAACGACCTCCTGCAAACTTCTCATCTCCGTGTGTGAATGTTGATCTCAGTGTCCAATAGCTCGAGTCCTGTAGCTGCGACACGCATTACTCAGCCGACGAGAGCAGAAAGCAGTCCAGCTGGACTGGGACTCGCCGCTCCAAATCGGTATCAACTTCAGGAGCGTCTTCATGAGGTCTTGAAGCAACTGACTGGCATCTCCTGTTTCTCCGTTGTACGATATTCGGCAAAACTCGCAGGTCTCGTGACAGCGATGACCAGACTACCAGTGAAACCCCCTGACGTAATCTTTCACAGAATCTCACAATCTCAGCCAGAGCGCTGACTGCGTTGGTCATTACCATGGGGGTCGAGTCATGACCATATGAATCAAGTCTCAGATGTCGCTTTACACACTACGAAACTCAGCAGAGAGAATCAGTTGTAGAGTGGCGAGAACAAGTTACTTGTCAACCATCTACTCTCTTACCAATATAAGTTCAGTACATACCCCCGGACAGTCTCTTCTCAATCAGTATTCACTAGTCTACTTTCATTGATTCTCAAGCCACTGATTCTCAGGTCATTGAATCCCAAGTGATATTGAATCTCACCTCAGTAGCCAAGTGGACTGCACTTGATTCTTCACATGGCTCTCCAGCTCTTTTCAATCCAGCTGGAGATGGTGCTTTCAGACCTGTAGATACCACCGCTCCGCTGATTCTGGTTTGGATGGAAGCATCTGGACCGGATCAGCTGTTGTTATCGGTTCTTAACTCGACTTCTCGCTACGTTGTTACCAGTTCTTAACTCGACTTCTCGCTACGTTGTTGCCAGTTCTTAACTCGACCTCTTGCCACTAGGGTTTCTCTGGCACAATGGAGATGTCTCCTTGGGTTGCTCTTGTTTCCTCCTCTTTGACTGTCTTCTCATTGATTGTCTTCTCATTGACTGATTCCCATGGACTGATTCTCTTGTCTAGCCCTCCAAGGAGACTGTTTACGAGCGGTCCTCATTTGTCGTCTGAGTCTTGATACGAGACCTCGTCTGATTAAGAGCTTTCTCAATGTATCTCGTTCGTACGGTAGGTCTCAAGTTCACTCTGACGAATGTACAATACCGCACAGTATCACTGGGCACCTGCCCTTCAACTTCTCCACTTTTCCACCCAATGTCTCATGATCGCCCTGTTTCACCTAATCTGAGCGGCTGGCGAGACATATCAAGGCAACTGTCTCACAGACGAGAGAAGAACAGGAGGTGGGACCGAGATGCCAACAAGTAGAGGCATTTAATCCTCCTCAAGCTCTTCCGTACTGCACCTACAGCAGTACATCACAGTAGTACAACACAGAACCACCAGCTTATACGAGTACAAACGCTGTACTACCGAACTTGAACAAGTACAAGTACAAGTACAAGTACATGGTTGTTTCCTCGAATTTTATGCTTATCTGAATCCACTCCCGGTTACTTGTAGACCGTTTTGTGTCTGTTCTGCTTGTACAGCACTTGTACCAGGGCTAGTGCTCTGTTCTTGTATTTATACACTCTATTTCGGAGGTGTATAATATAAAAAAGGATAAAAAAGAAAATAATATAATAATACTAAAGAAAAACATCAACGCATCAAGGGGAAAAAATCGTCCAGTCCGAGAAACAGAAGACTTTGGTCTGTTATTCTTTCGCACAGCATTTTTTTTGTATTTTTTGTATTTTTTGTATATTTGTATTTATTGAATTTATTGAATTTTTTTCCTGCGACACGAATTGCCACCGTTCTTGTGCTTATACTAATGAGACACATCTGACATTCCAGCAAGTCTAACAAAAAACGAACAAAACAGCAAAAACATACTAAAAGTAAACCGGAAAATCCCAATTAAATCCCAATTAAATCCCATAATCCACTAAAATAATCTAGAAAATCCCTGCTGATTCCCCAACTCCCTATCAATCCCAATTTAATCCATCCTCCCCCGCAAACGGCCTGAGACAAGGTCGCAAGTGGCGATTGGCAAAGTCAACCTTTTTCTTATTGAAAAGGGGTAAATTGATCCGAACTCTCTAACCAAATACTACAAGCACAGTACACAGTACTGTAGCCAAAAAAGCCGAATTGAACCCCAACACGAAAATAAAATAAAATAAAATAACCCGCTCGCATTTCTGCGCGTCACGTGACCCCCACCCCGCCCAAAACTCAGCCCGTTCTGATTCCCGAACGTGGTGTTGGCGACGATCGTTGATCTCCGCCAAAATAAAAAATAAAAAATAAAAAAACATTAACACGTATCTCAGATTGCTCTAGAAGTTTAAATCAGAACTGGGTTAGACGTAGCTGTCCATTTGGAGATTGCTACTTTTGGAAAGATGCAGAACGCCTGCATGTATACGAAAAGCTACGTACAGGTAGTGAGTGTAGAGTGGTTGCTGTGGATAAAATCAATATTGGTTATATGTTGCTGGTTATGGTACAATTAATACTTGAAGATGATGTAGAGGGCATGGATGATACCGGGAATGTATCCAAGACAACAGAGGAGGACGTTGATGAGCAGGTCAGCGGTGCATCCTCGCTCCATGAAAACTCCAACGGGGGGGAGGAAGATAGCTGGGTTAGTTTGGGTTGATAGGGGGAGGGGGAGGTTTCGTGGTTCACACGGCCAAATGTGACACGGTCAAAGTTGTGACACGGTCACTCGTGACATGGGAAGTCATGCCAATATCACAAGCAATACGGCCAATGTTGAGCACACGCGGCTCTGTCACGGCTCTGTCACGGCTCTGTCACGGCTCTGTCACGGCTCTGTCACGGCTCTGTCACGGCTCTTACGACACTATCACAGCTCGCTCAGGCCAGCCTCACCCGCTCAGGCTCGCCTCTCTCGCCACTCGCCATTAGTGCAACGTCGCCACCAAAATAGCACTGGCCATCAACAGGCCTCAATCCAACCCTTAATCCAGCTGCCGCTTCTAATACTCACCAACGATGATCTTGAGAATGTCGGAAGAGGTGAAAGCCATTGTGTTTGTGTTTGTGTAAGGTGGTGTGTGGGAAACAGAATTGACAGAGGAGGTGGGCCTATATATAAACAGACGATATGGCTGAGGTACTAAGGTGGTATGCACTCACTGCCTTGTTTGGGAAGTCAAAAAAAAGCTTAAAGGTTGGGTGCCCCTAATGGGCAGATTGAGGTTGCGACTGCATTTTTCGGCGATAAGCATCTCCGCGGATTTACGCCTCCTGCGACCGTTTGCGGGTGGTGGGCATGACGGGGGTCCTGTGGTCATCTCACGGGTCCCGAGGTCACCGCACGGCCGGCGTCACGACGCCCCCGTTATCCCATGCTCTGGGCCGTTTCTTTTCCTACCCCTACCAACGTTGGTTGCGGGTGTCGTGCGGCTCACAGCAGCAAGCGGGTCTATGTAGTAGCAAGCCAGGTGCAGGCACAGATCTGGCCATGATGTGGGCGAGGTTGTGGCCACGACTTGGACAATGTGGTGGGAGGACTTATTTTGCGGGAAAACCCGCCTGCTACGCGGTCGACGTGTTTGCGGCGCCATTTTGGATCCACGCCTTTCCATCTTCTCTCGGGGCTATTTTAGGCACTCAGCCCTGCGAACCTTGTTTGGGAGGGCTGACTGACGTTGGTCATGTTGTGGCCAAGACGGTCCCAAAGTGGTGCCCACACTGGGCGCGTGTCTTCTCCTGGGCTTGTCACATGCACTTGGTTGTGGCGGTTGGCTGAGGTATTATCTGCGGTTCGAAACTCGCTTTTGACTCAAACTTGGAATGGGCTTTTGGTCCGGAGTGTGAGCATAATATACCGTTTTCCTGAGAGTAAAAATGTCGCATTTCAGGGCCCCGAAAATGGAGTTTGCAGAGGATTTTGGGCAAAGTCGGAAATGGGGGGAAATTGGGGAAAATTGGGGAAAATTGGGGAAAATTGGGGAAAATCGGGAAAATCGGGAAAATCCAAATTTCAGAAAAAACCCGCGAAAATCGGAAAACAATACGCTTGCCAGAAAGACTCCCAGCATTTAACGCGCACCTCCTCCGAGATTGTTTTTTTTGCTGATAGTAATTAACTCAAACATGGGATCAGCGTTTGGAGGAGGATATACGGCGGAAATGGAGGCGAAAAAAAAGAAAAAAAAAAGAAAAAAAAAGAAAAAAAAAGAAAAAAAAGAAAAATAAGAGAAAAAAGGACAAAAAAGGGGGAAAAAATATTAAGAACAAGAAGAAAAAAAAAAGAAACAGAATGGACGCATGTGCACCTGGCCACGCGTCTTTTGAACGACGCCGTATAACGATTTCCGCCAAATGAAGACACTGCACTGTCGCAGCGGCGGCTATGTCGGCGGCTATTCCCTGGTTGGGCGGGCTATTCCCCGGTTCGGAGGCAAAAAATCAGTCCTTTCCAGCAGACTAGAGTACAGACCTCCTGGCTACGACAAAAGCTCACTTGGAACTTGCTCTAAATGCCGTCACGAGTTGTCCTATGCCCCTGCACTGCATCCGTCGGTTCCAAACATGTTCTAGAAGCTCGAATATGTCTTGGTATGCAGTATGATAGAGGTATGATATCTCCGACGATTGACCGAAGAGGTAAGAGTAGGGCTGTGTACGGACTGTACGAGAGCGGTTTGGAATTGGATAGAGCGGTATGAGATCGGATAGAGTGGTACTTTTACTCGTACTGTACTTGTTCTTGTACTGTTTCGGACTGATGCAATATCCATCATTCAGATCCGAAAAATCTCTCATTCCAAATCCACTTGTTCATCTCATTGACTCATTCATCTCATTGGCTCATCATCACTATTCGCCCGGTTCCAACCGCTCCAACTCCAACTCCGTTTGTTTTGTCTGATTCGGTTTGTATATCCCCATAAATCGACATTCTAACCCAGAGAAGAACAAGCTCCATTCCGAGCTCCCGTGACCCGGCCAGAAACTGTCCGAGTTTGTCTATTAATAGAAAGAGTTGGTGGTGTGACCTGCGAGTCGAGTTCGATTCTCGGATATGTGTGGGCAAAGTGGGACTAGTCCTGGATCTCGAACTCGAACTCGGACTCGGGCTCGGACTCGAACGCGGACTCGGACTCGAACTCGAACTCGGACTCGGACTCAGACGCGGACTCGGGCACTTGACCGCGACCATACCTCTCAATCATACTCGAAGTCGAAGTCGAACTCACAGTCAGGCATTTTCCACGTCTGGTACCTCAACCTGAGACTGCGGGGATATGCAGGATATGCAGGATTTAACGGTTTCAACGGCTTAAAACGGATTGTTTTGGGACCAGGACAAGCCTGAGAGAGAGATGGACGCGCCGGGCGCGTTTCGGATCAGTTGTTGTAAACATTCGCGTCCAGGAGTAAGGACTGGAGCGGTTTGAACGGCAACTTAGCTTTGGTACCTCATACCCCAGATAGAGACGGGTCCAGGAGACTCAAAAGGAGCCCTATCGACCCGCCAACTTCGCCCGATGGACCGCCAACTTCGTTCCAGTAACATACCCACTGTTTTAAAACCCCGCAACGACCTTAACTCCTTTTGGTATGGCCGTAAACAGACATGGATGAGATTGAGTTCTGCAAGGAGCTCTGGAGCAAGTGGACCAGGGATGGGGACAAAAGTGAACAGCCAGGAGTCATTTAATTGAAGGGTGATGGGCAATGCGTTTGAGCCATACAAGTATGAGGTACCAGTTACGAGGCACGAGGTGCTTGTTTTACTACACTTTTACTCGTACGAGTAATCGTAGGGTATGATGACTGCAGCAGATACACACCGATATCGATTCTCCGGGGAGACCGCACCCAGCAGATGAAGCAGGAATAGGACATTGGTTGACTATTGAGGAATTTCCCATCTCTGAACCAAGCTTCAATCTCGAACCAAGCTCAATGCTGAACCAAGCTCAATCTCGAACCAAGCTCAATCTCGAACCAAGCTCAATGCTGAACCAAGCTCGAATCTCTAGCTCAGTCTTTGATCCAATCTCCAGTCGAGCGTTCGCAGACGCTTCCTTTCGTTGTCAGAGCCCAGTCTTCGATCTCTCAGTTTCTCTCAGCCTATGGTCACTGACTGTAGTGCAATGACTCAATGACTCAATGATTCTCCACTCAAACATGTCTCTCCAAAGACAATGATCCCACCAATATGGTTGGAACTTCTTCTATAAAAGATGGAGAGTGTATATGAGTCACTTGCACTCGTCGCAGCAGTGCACATCTACCTGGCTGTACTGTGGGTACACGCTGTATCGATCTCTGCCATTTTGGCTTGGATCAAGAGTTGCACAGAGAAAAACAAGTCCCTTTATCTGTTCCTGAGTCTGTCAACACTCGTCAAGTGTTTTTCTACTTCTTTTCGCACCCAATTACAGGTCCCTCATCCCCGAAACATCACCAAGTCCCTTGGTCCAGTTTGTGTGCTCCGAACGTGATTTGTAATCGGTCTCTAGAGAACGAGTGTCTAGAGAACGAGTGTCTAGGGGTATGTTAGATGTTAGATCTTTCCGGTCCAATCATCTCAGCTTTTGTGTCATTCCTGTGCCAGTCTCAGATCCGAACTGATGGTACATAATTCCGACACGGAGATCGAGGATTGGTCATCTGGCGATTAGAATGTCTGCAAATAGCTGGACTTTCCCTGTTGGACACCCTGGAAAATTGTAGACGGTGGTTGACCACTTGAAGGCTGCTGGAAGCTGCTGAAGAGGTTAGAGACTAGAGCTACCGTCTCGACAGCATCAACAATAGCACTTCCTCCATAGAACCGGTTCAGGAAGATCGGATGCAACGTGTTCAATCATGTAAGAGGAGACAGTACTGTTCTTTCTGATACTCTGGTACTCGGTTCACTCTTCATCCTGATCACTCTTCAGTCTGATCATTCTTCACTCGAAAAGTCCAACTCCTCATGTAGTCGCCATCGTCGATCGTACACATGATCGCACTCCCACAAACGTACCAAGTCAATGAGTCGCGTCAAATCTCCTCAATTGAAGCAGTGACACCGAGCATCGCACGTAAATCTCAACAGCTCTGTCTGGATCATAGGTTTTTTTCGTGGTGAACTGAACCTCAAGCTACAGATACTGGATCACCGGTTTGACGCTGACCACCTGGAACTGTGGTGAATTCAACATGACTCTGACAAGATAGATATGATACCATTATGAGTGCAATGGTACCTCTGGCGACAAAGTGGTAATGTAGGTCCAAGTGGATCCAAGTGGTGAAGTGGTGATGTTAGACCCAAATACAAAAGGACTCAAATCTCTGGATAAACGCCGTAGAGACCTGAAAATGGTACCGTTGGATTCCTCCTGACCAGGCGAGTGTGACAGTGTACTTCGAGGCTACACCAAGTGATTTTTGGTGGTCTTTTCGAGACACAACTGGCGGCGTAGTTCATGGTCATCATTACAAGCACGAGTAACCATTCTGTCTCAATCAGATCAGTACTAGATCATCTGAAATCTCGAACAGCTCGGGGATGTTCATTCGGTCCGAATGTCTCCAGCACATTTCTCAGCCTATTACCACCCTACATCCAACGAAACACACCCAGCTACCTCGTTCAATCTAACATCTATTACTTCTCCTATCCTTCATCGAACGCAACATGGTCGTTGCATCACGATACCATCAACCCTTGCTCTCTTCTTCTCCGCACTTAGTTGAGACCCTCATCCAATCGCACAGCAGGGTTGTTCTCCACAAAGTCCAGAGATACCTTATGACCGAGCAGCTCTCGAATGTTTGAGACGCCATACTTGATCATAGTGGGTCGCTCCAGCGATAGACCCCAGCCGTGAACTCGCAGGTCCTTGGGCAGACCCATGGCCTCCAGCATTTCCGGTCGGAACATACCTGAGTTTCCAATTTCGACCCACTTGCCGAGACCCTCGTGCCAGGAGAAAATCTCCAGCGACGGCTCGGTGTAGGGGTTGTAGGCGGGCTTGAACCGCAGCTGCTTGACGCCCATCTGCGAAAAGAACATCTGCATGAAGCCAATCAGGTCTCCGAGAGTCAGGTTGTAGTCGGCAACCACTCCCTCCACCTGATGGAACTCAGCCAGATGGGTGGCATCCACAGCCTCGTTTCGGAACACTCGGTCAATGGAAAAGAGCTTGGAAGGCTTGGGGTCCTTGGCGAGCTGGTGCAGCATCTTGGCCGACACCGCAGTGGTGTGGGTTCGCAGCACTAGCTTCTGGGCCTCCTCAGGCTTCCAGTCGTACCGGTATCCGATGGAGCCGTAGGCTCCGTCCTCGTGAACCTTCTTGACATTGTTCCAGTACTCCATGTCTTCGGGGAGACCCGCCTCCTTGGGATCCTTGACGTAGAAGGTGTCCTGGAGGTCTCGTGCGGGGTGCTTCTGGGGCACAAACAGCGTGTCAAAGTTCCAGAACCCAGAGTCCACGTACTGGTTGGTGGGCATTTCGGAGAAGCCCAGCGAGAAGAAAATCTGTCGGAACTCCTCCCGCACCTTGTTGAGAGGATGGAACGCTCCGGACTGGGGCTGGACTCCCTCGGCGGCAAAGTTGTAGGGCTTGAATGCCGCGTCCTTCCAGGCGCCGCTCTGGATCATGTCGGTTGTCACGTCGGTGGCGTACTCCTTGACGGTAAGCGCAAACTCGGGGCCCTTTTCAATCTCAAACCACACCTGCTTGACCTTAGTGATCAGCTTTCGCTTCTTAAGATCTTGCAGCTCCTTGGCGTCTCCCAGGGTGCCCGTGGACTCAATGGTCTTAAGATCCTCGGCGGTCTTGTCAGTCACGCTGTCGCTGCTCTTGATCAGCTTGGAGCCCTCCTTCTTGACCCAGCCGTTCTTGAAAGCCCGCTGCTGGCCAATTTTGCCCGACGCTCCCAGCTTGGATGCCACGTCAGCCAGCTCCAAACCCTCCAGACCCTTGCACACCTCCTCATAGAGGCGGTACTCGTGCGAGCCCAGCGACACAATCTCCTTGCCCTCCTCAGTAAGCTCCCACTTGTCCTCCTCCACGGCCTTGTAGGTCACCATTTCTCGGCCGGCAAGACTCTGCAGCGTGCCCTGCAACTGGGCGGTGGTATGGGCGGGGAAGGCCACCCGCGAGTCAGCGATGGGGCCCTCGGCAAGCGTTTTCAGCACTGTGGTCGTGAGATCAGACATGGTGTTTGGTGGTGACAGATACTCCCAGAGTTTTTCAGGAGCTAATCCTGGTTACCCGGGAGTGGTGTGGAGAGACGCAGTTCAACCTGCGCTCCAAACACTTTTAAAGAGTGTGTCAATTGGGCTGAAAACCCGATATTTGAGAACCTGACCGATTCTGATTTCTGATTTCATTTTGTCTTTATTTTTCCCCTTTTTGAAATTGTCCTGTTTTCAAGTTCTGATTCAGATGAGTCAGTCTCAGATCTTTTTAACCATAAGCTGACTCAGTCATATCGTCAAAATTTGATACTGACTGTGAAGAGTCCATTATGGGGCGAATATGAACGATTTTAGATCAAAAAATAACCGGGAAACAACACCAATTCTCCGTCTAAACCAAGTTGCAAAAAAATTGGTGCAAAAATAAGTACTTTGAATGCTCGGAATCAGGTGCAGCCTGGATCACTAAATAAAAATGAGAAATGAAATAAAAATGAGAAATGAAAAAAAAAATACAAAAAATAGAAAAAAAAATAAATAGAAAAAAAAAAAGGAAAAAAAGAACGACTCCAACTAGAAAACATAGAAAAATTTCTAGACATTTTACAGTTTCCATAAATCCTTAGAAACTCTTCAAAACATCTCTTTCGGTTTTACTACTCTCTCAAATCACTGCTCAAGCTTTCTGCACCTACTCAGGGCACTCCACCAAGACGTTCTCCATTGCTCTATGATCCGGACGAAATATCAATAAAAAAACAAGACCAGTAGATTACACAGTCCAAAAAACCACCCATAAAGACCCTTTAGTTCTAGTAAATACCCTCAATCACCCACAAATCACAGTTGAAAACGCCGGACACGTGACCTGGAGGTTTCTCACTAGTGTCCCAAGAACTTCAACATTTTATCGCCAGCCATCATAGTATAGTGGTTAGTACACCACGTTGTGGCCGTGGAAACCTCAGTTCGATTCTGGGTGATGGCATTCTTTTTCCCCCTATCCCCTTTTTTTTGTTTTACTCTGCAACTCCTCTCAAGGCGCATGTATTTTTTTTTCCATATGCACTTGTCGCAGTTGGTTTTGAAAGTACAAAGGTTTTATTTTTTTATTACTAAATTGAAAGATTTAGTCACGTGACGACGGGATGGGAGACTGATATGAGAAGCGAGTTAGGCTGACTAATGAACCCATAATTATACTGTGATGTACAGTAAACGTACCGCCAGATATTTTTGTCTGGACAATTCTTGTATATTTGTGCAGTAAAGCTCCCTGTGCATTTTCACTGCTCCAGGTACATTTTATCAATTTCTCACTAGTTAGTTGGATAGAGTCAACTAGAACTTTGATTGTTACTTGAATATGGTCAGAATGAAAGGTCCTACGTTTTGTCTTGGAGAGTCCCAGAGCGAATCGGAAAAAGTGCAAACGACTCCTGGCCGTGCAGTATTCTTTCTGGTAGAAACACACCACTAGTTATATCAGAATCAGCCAAGACATGTTGCGCCATTTCACTGGTAAACTGCTAAAGTTTCGGGCGGATCTTGCACACGACATTAGATCTACTAGCAGTTCCACCACTGACCAAAAACATGTTTCGAACTTTGGTGCGGATGAACCGGCACGCGCGGCCCAAGGGCACGTCGTCGCGACCTTCTCACGGCATCACGGACTCGCTGGGGTCGTCCAAGGCCGCCAAGGTGCCTCTGTCCGAGACGACTCTTCCTGGCGGCAAGTTGCCTCCCAGTTTGCAGGGCAAGACTGCTGAGCAGCGCCAGAAGGCCAATCGATTTATGGGAATCACTCTGATTCTGGTGGCGGGCATTCTGATTGTGGCGGGCTACAAGTCGCAGAAGCGGATCGGCACCAAGGAGCCCCATGAGAGCATCGAGACTGCTGTTCTGCAGCGGGTTCTGGAGGCCAACAGACAGGAAAAGGAGCGGGAGCGGGAGAAAAAGACCGAGTAGAACGCGGGAGGAATGGGTTTGGGCCTGCATTGGTGCAGATACACGCTCTGCACGACAGTTGTCTTGATACACGCTTTGAACGAAAGGTGTCTTGATACACGCTCTGGAACGAAAGCTGCCTCGATACACGCTTTGAACGAAAGGTGTCTCGATACAAGCACCTATGACGTTACCCAATTATAGATTATGAATCGACGATATGAAATTGATGTCGACGGGGTGTTTGGGGGAGGTTTTGAGGGGTTGTAGGCTACAGTAGTGTAGCTCGGAATACAGTGTGTAAGAAGAATGCACGATACAGTAATCCATGCCAGTCTAGACGTTCATTGAGAGGGCTCATTTTAATGACTACAAGTCGTGGATTCTAGGAGTGTAAGAATCCAAGAGCTTCGTTATTCGTTATTCCGTCAACAGGTCTCCCTTTCAGAGTTGTGGTTAAGAGTTTAGTTGACATCTGGGGACTGACTGAGACTGCAATGGAGACGGCAAACCGGTTACGTTGAATCGAATGGTGATATTCTGTTCCACCATAGACCTCTACTGCGTCCGATAAATGGAATGTCAAAATGTCACGATGCAGTCCCTAGTTCGAATATGGTATCTCAAGAAACCACATTATCGAGTTTTTGGGCGACATTACAAAAAATATGAGACCACCAATCGACTCAGAATCCCACTTTGCAACACAAAAGTGATTTTGGTATTCTCCTAGCGTTATTTTCTCACGAGTTATCGCCAACCGTAGTTGTGTCAGCATACCCTAGTAGAATCGCAACTTGAGGATTAGGAAGAGAAGAGAAGGAATAGCAGACCTCCAGTAGGAATAAGACTGGTTTCAGTATTGGATTTTCCTTTTCACGTTTCACTACGACAAAAAATCAGTGTACGTGTACGCTTTTTAGTGCGGTTTATTGACTTATGTAAGTAACTGTTAGTGAATTTTCACGTCAACTAAATAGTTAAATAATTCAACTAGATCTCCAACTAAAACACAATCTCAAGATACCACTTGAATGCGACTCGTCGCAAAAACAAAGCCCGACGTGGGGCTTGAACCCACAGCCTTGAGATGACCTTGGAATAAGAGTCTCACGCTCTACCGATTGAGCTAGCCAGGCTGAATTTTATGCCTTCGTGTTAGGGATCAGCGGCTAAGAAATAGCCGCCTGATTAGTCTCTCGTGAACCGCTAGCGGAGACTACGACGAGGGGCCACCACGTGGGCCCTCAGTGGGATTACGCTATCATTAATATCGATATGCCAAGCCTGCTATCACGGACAAAGGGTTGCGCCGCAACCCTGGATAACATATAAACCCCTGTATTCCATGTATTCTAATACACCTTTCTGGAGAGTGACGGCAGTGACCATACCTTCGGTATGGCCACCCCGGCTGAGTCATCAGTCGGCTTAGTCACGGGGCCTGGGTTCTAACACTTAGTGGGAAACCAGCCTCTGGATTACTCAGCAGGTCAGCATTGTTTCATTAGAATAAAAATAATATAATTCCCTAGAATAAATTTAAAAACAGGAAAAAAAAATAACGGGGGAAAATACATAGGCGTCAAGTAACTAAAATGTATTTCCCTAGTATATAAATATATAAAACGGGCTCCGCTGACCTACCAATGCGTTCTTGTAGTGTCCTTGGCTCTCCGGAAGCTCGTCACATAACATCATTCATTAAAATACCGTGTTGTCTTCGTCTACATATACTGAATCCTACGTGATCACCTGGTTACTAAGCACCTACCACCTTATGGGTCTATCTGGGGTCTTACATCCTTTTTTCCAAATTTTCGGCGCTCAGACATCTATTTAGTCAGCACACACCTCAAAAACGGACTTGTGTTGGGGTTGTTGATATTTTAACTACAAAAATTGGCTTCTGCATGTACATACATACCTTACAGAGCTCTCAGAAGTACAAAAGGTGTGTTGTGTGTATCTCCTTGAAAAAAAAATAATGGCGACATCCGCAGGATTCGAACCTACGCGGGGAAACCCCAAGAGATTTCTAATCTCTCGCCTTACCGCTCGGCCAGGATGCCTATTACCAAAACAACGCCTAATCTGGAAACCGCAACCGAGGTAAATAGTCACGTGATTGGCGTAGAAAATGGCTTACTACTGTACTGAATTATTAGAATAATTACAAAAGAAAAGAAAGAAAAAAAAAAAAAGAAAAACAAACAAACAAACAAACAACTGGACTCACCGAAACGCGCACCATAACGATTAATTATCATGTGGATGATTTATTGAACGCCAATAACACGGCTTACTACTTGTAGGTATAATAACGGATCATCACATAAAATAAATAAAGGATTATCAAGCGAAGCGACCTTAAAACAGCAAAATCCGGGTCTAAAAAAATGTGTGCGAGAAAATTTCCAGCCGAAATAATACAACAGTTGAAGAGTCGACATCACGTGAGAATTACAACAGGTTATGAAGAACTTTACAATCTGACCAACATGTGGGTTGGGTCACGGTGGCCTTAGGGCATTATTAAGAGACGTGGAGTACAATTGAGCAACACAACGGCCTACCATATCAGCATGGACTACGTTTATATAGCTTCCCATAAAATATCATCCCAAAATGACAAGATTTCTACACAACTAGACCAAACTACTCATTGCTCATAAAAAAGCAGATTATCACTGGGGAAACATACCAAATGTGACCATATCCACTCATTTAATCTGATTGACATGTTACCTATCGAGTTTTTTTGGAAATCTTTCCATTTCATTCTATTTATTCGGTGTTCAACACTCAACATGACCCAGAGTCTCAACTCATCATGAACAAATAAAGATTATGATAAAACGCCACCATCACTTGAAATGTATCATTATAAATATCAGACAAGACATTTTAATGCATTAATAAGCCTGTTTCGTGCAAATACATTTCACCTGTAAAAAATATAAATCACTTTGATATTTTTTTATATTTTATTCTAATAATTTTTTAAAAAAACTTATTTTCACCCTCAAAACTCTGCATCCCACCTCGGAACTTCACAGCTGGTTTCTTGGTCTAGTTGGTCATGGCATCTGCTTAACACGCAGAACGTCGGCAGTTCGATCCTGCCAGAAATCACTTTTTGCCCCCCCCACACCCAGCGCCCGTCATACTGTTCTCTCTAGGCTATATCTGTGGCCCCCACGGACCCCGCTGACCCCCACTACAGTATTCATACACTAGAGAATGTACCACACCAGTCTACGAATACACACCACACTAAGAGTTAAGAGTTGAGAGTTATATAACAGTCACAGTCACAGTCAAAGTCACAGTCAAAGTCACAGAAACACCTACTGTAGAGACTCCATGGCGATCTCGACGTACTGAGCATTGTTGCAGGCCTGGGCCGCGCTCTCAACGCCAGTGGGTCGCAGCTCCCACATGCCATTGGCGTACTGGCAAGCAATGAAGCCCTGGTTGTGGTAAGTTAGCCGGTTGTCACGGATCTGGAAGCCAGTGAGACCCTGTCGCACCTGGTTTCGATCGGTGAACTGCAGAGAAGCCTGGTTGCCGAGCCGCACAAATCGGCCCTGGTTGTCCACAAGCTGACCTCGGTACGACAGCTGGCCGTTCCAGGGGTGGTAGTTCTGGGATCGCTGCCGATCGTCAATGAGCATCAGCCGGCCATCGTTGTGGTACACGTTGGCATTCTGGAACCGGTTGTTGTCAATGACTCGCAGACGCGAGTCCTGGTACCGGGAGTAGCCCTGGTTGAGGTTACCGTTGACGTTGACGGCAATGGGGTTGGCGCAAGGGGCGTTGTTGACAAAGACTTGGTGCAGGTGGTTGTGGGACTGCTGGTCGTAGCTAATGTCATAGGCATTGCCCTTGGAGTCGACAGGACAGGCCAGGAACTGGTTCTTGTCAGAGTACCGCAGGTCGGCGTTTCGCCAGTTGTCCGTGTCTCGGTGTAGATTGAGCTTTCGGTTGGCTCGGGTCGAAGGCACCAGTCGGTTGTTGTCAACGCTAACATAACGGTTCTTGCCGTAGTTGGTTCCATCGATGTTCACGTCACCGTTCACGTCAATGTAAACGGTGACATTGTGCAGCCGGTGGCCGTTCACGTCGCCGGTGGATCCGTGGCCCAGGTACAGGTTCTGGCCATCGGTGGTCATGTCGTACCGCCGGTCGTTTCGGTATCCGTGCAGCTGGTAAGTGTAGTCGGACTGGGGCCAAGCGTAGTCGTGGACGTGCGACAGGGCTCGCGAGTTGTCCAGGTGATGGAACTGGGGAGCAGCCAGAGAGAGAGAGGCGAGGGAGAGAGTGAGGGTGGAGAACTTCATAGTTGGGTGTTGGTGTCAGAAATTGGTGTCAGAGACTGGTGGGGAGTTGAAGGGCGACTTCATGGGGTTTATATGTGGTCCTGGGGGTCCATTGATTAACATCTGATGAGTTTGAGAGCATTTCCTTATCCACTGGAGTCTTGCTTGATTTGGGGGACGGTAGACAAGCTGATATGTGCAAGTCTTAGAAAGGCAAGTGTGGTGCGGTGGGTTGGTCATCGAGAATGAGGCGGGAATAGCAGAGCGTTGATATAGCAAGACAGCAGACAGGCATTATCATCAGATGAGGCACGGCCCAGTCTTTCAAGACCAGGGGGTGTATGAACCCACCATTTTCCATTCTGTGAGAATCAATTGAATGTAGGGGAAGCTGTCCAGACTCACAAGGCGTAAACGGCGGCCGTGGGGAAGCAAACAATAGGAACATCCACTCCGTCCTGACCCGCATCGTCTGGTGCACGTGTTGCCGGCGATGGTTCGCCTGAGGAGACACCGATGTACCGTATGTCGTATGTGCCGCAAGTCGTTGTCTGAAATGAAACCTAGCAGTGCAGCAGTTGCCTTGTTGGTGGTCATTTGTGGATCGAGCGTAGGAGAGGAGAGTTGTGGTTGTTGTTCCTGAAATCTCAAAGTTGTGTTAGCGAGTCCTGGCATGGCAGTCAGTTGAAGCAATTGGGTAGGTATGGGTCTGTTGCCTTTCAAGAGAGCGTTTCATGATCGTTTCAAGATGCAATCCAAGATACAATCCAAGATGCAATTCATGATGCGATTCATTGGTTGAGTCTTGTCGTTTACCTGACCAGTTCGTGTCCTCGCGCGCCTTTGCTCCACCGTCTGTATCTAGTATCGTTATAAGATGTGATACGTAGACGGTACCGGTAGCTCCAACAGGACCGCCCCCAAAGAGTCGGTTGAAAATGGAATGCCGAATGCTCCATTCTGCGCCTCGATGCCTTTGTAAGGTGGAATGTTGGTCTTGAGGTGGCTTTGTCTCTTGATCTGGTATCTGTATCTGAGATGGTGTGTGAGTTTCTAGAGTTTGTAAGAGTGTTTTTGTCTGGTCACCAGTTGTGTCACTCGTTCATGCCACTCTTCTTTTTGTGTAACTGTTGCCGTTCGCTCATGTCACTGTTCTTTTCACTCGCGCGGAGGAAGTCATCAACTGCCTGCGGCGTTTCTTGCATCCGAAACGCGGCACCAAACGGCGGAGATACAGAAGAGGAAGGTGCCACGCAAAAACGAGGCGTCGGAGATACGGTCGGAGATGCCATTTTCGACCGACGTTTGGCGGAGGTGGCCTTCCTTTCCGAGGCGATATCCACTTGTTGCTCTGGAAGTGGTGGTGGGGGATGAAGGGTTCTGGAGTTGGACACAAAGGGTTGTGAAGTTGGGGGACTTTGCGGAGTCAGGAGTTGGTCAGGAGTCCGTTTGATTGAGCCTGAGTCGGTTCGAGCCGGTCCCAGAACACTTCACTTGCACTGCTGACAACAGGCCAGACTACAGCGTTGAAGAGAGCGAAACAAGTGCACAATTTGGTTGCACCAACAAACCACACCCCTGATGATCTCAACCAATCTAGCGGTGAGAAGCAAATCTTTGACCTTCTTCTTGATCCCGGCTGTCTACAGTACACTGTAGATACTGCTCAAGGCGACCTCGAAAGGCGTAAGGGTATTGTACTACGATCCCTGCCCCCTACCACTCCTACCACCCTACCACCACTGACCCAGTTTGGTGTTTCTACACCTCCTCTTCGGAACCACCTCAATCTCTCTCTCCCTCGTGCCATTATGGGCATGTCAGATAATACCCGACTACAGAAAAGATGAGAATCACCATGCTCAAGAAGCTGGAGCGGAGACTGGACCAACTGCAAAGGCTGGAAGGAGAAGCGTCTCACTCGAAAGATCAAATGGAACATGACGAGAGCCAAAAGACGATTGCGGATCTTCATTAACAGGTTCAACAAGATGGTGAAAACAATGCGAGTGGCCCAACTTTCCAGACTGGTTGCTCAGACCCACACTCTGCGACAACACAGCAACTTCAGTGCATCTGTTACGAATGTCGGTACGAATGTCGGTACGAATGTCAGTACGAGTACCGCTACTCGTTTTCCTACGGATACTGCTACTCTTTGTCGTTGTCGTTGTCGTTGTCGTTGTCGTTGTCGTTCTCATTCTCGTTGTCGCTCTCTTCATCGCATCAACTGACAAGGAATGAAAAAGAGAACTGAGACTGTGGCTACTGCAGTCGAGCAAGCCTAGATGTTGGATGTCAGAGCCCAAGAAATGCAGCGACAGATTGTTTTTTGCAGTGACAGCCACCACCGCTGCTGCGTTATAGTCTGTGGCTTTTCTGGCCAGCAGGCTATTGCGGCTTTGACCAGACTCTCACAAGTAGACATGATCATTTATTCAGTATATTGTCCAATGATTGCGCATGTAGCGGTACAGGCACGTGGTTGGGGTTTACCGTACACACACTAACACGAGATTACCGTTCAAACACACTCCACCAACCCCTAATCCTTCTTGGGAACGTACTGGACCTTCTGGTCGGTGATGGTGAGCTTGACGCCGTCGTAGAAGGGCTGGGAAACCACCGTCTTGTACCATCGAGAGATGGCGGGGTGGGTCTTTCGCCACTCCTTGTCGAACAGCAGCTCGAAGCCTCGGAAAATGAGGCCTGCCACGGCGTAGTCGGCAAAGGTGAGCCGGTCTCCCACCAGATAGGTGTGTTTGGTGAGATGGGGCTCGAACGTCAGCTCAATCTGCTTGTTGAGCTCCTTCTGCGACTCGTCAATGAGCTTCTTGTTGTAAGGGGCTCGGCCCACCAGGCCGCCAAACGACTTGAACAGCAGTGCCACAAGCTCCGAGTTGGCAAACGACACCCACTGGAAGAACTGCGCGTGCTCCAGGTCATTCTTGGGCTTGATGGACTCGTCCTTGACAAATGTCAGCAGATAGAAAGCCACCGCAAAGAACTCGTGGACCGCAGTGCCGTCTGCCAGCACCAGCGACGGGTACTTTTTGAGTGGGAACTTCTTCTCAAACTCCTCGTCCGCGCCGGAAATCTCCACGTCCAGCTTGTAGTGGTTGACGAGGCCGTAGAGCGCGTTGCAGCGGGCGTAGGGGGCGAGATAGAGCTTTCCGATGGACATTTCGCAATGTGTGGTGCACAAACAGAGTATGTGTGAGAAGACAAAGTCGTGGTGACACGAACAGAGATCGAGTGGGTGATGGTAGTGGGGGTGGTGGTGGGTGGCAAAGTTAAATGTTGGAAAAACGGCACAATGAAGAGGAGCTCCAGCGGACGGGGAAAAGGAGCTAGAGAGCCGGATTTTCGACAGCAGATCAATTGAGTCGAGAGATTTAGACGGCTCAAAAAATCGGCCCAATTGTTCCTACTTATACCCACGTTGGAAGACTTCGGCTAACGACCACAAAAACCACGCTGCAGGTGTAATGAAGGTTAATATTGTGCAATCGACGGTTTAGTGAGGAGTTTAAAATACTTAAAAAGTAATAAATAAATACATGAATAAATAAATGAAAATAAATATGAAAATAAATATGAAAATAAATATGAAAATTAAAAAAACAACTCGGAGATCACAAAAACAAATTAAAACACATGGAAATCAATCAAAAAGCAAATGTTGTCGTGAATGCCGTCACGTGACCAATGCAGCAGGGAACCACCATTCTATGCGTACAGTACATACCTACATACTGTACGAGCACAAGACACCACACTTGTACTCCCTCTTTCGATGTCTCCACCAACAAGGTCTTATCAACAAGTCCAGTTGTAGCTGAAAACGATCTCAAGTCGACGACACGGTCAATTTGAGCATTTTGTTCTGTGTAAAAGTTCGCTATCTGATACCAATCGCATCACAAGCTTGGCAAGCCACAGTTCGACAGAGGGAGGTGAAGAGTGGAAGGCCTGAGACACATCTGAGTGAAACACCGAGTCCCGACACCACCATACATCCATCTAAATCTAGCCCGTTTCCCACTGTATCTCCCCAGTCTGCCCTAGCGACGACTCACTGTAGTCCAGCCCAGTTCGACGGCTAACAGTTCGACTGATCTGTCTGATTCAGAATAGATCATCTAACAAGATCTGTCTCATTTTCGCCAAGTCTGTCGCATTTAAGAAGTTTTAATGCCCGTTTTGTGCACTCAAAGACTTCAACATGGATTCTCGGCGGTACTGGATCTGGATTCTGAGCTGGATTCTGAGCTTCTCTCTGAACTGGAGCCCAATAGAGATCGGGGGTCCCCAGAGCACGAACCCAGAAGAGGTTGCTGCCGTCACGCCCTAAACAGTTAAGCCCACAATTGTTCCCGCCAATAATGCTCCTGAACTCAAGAGCAATTTCAACCCACACTCCAACCAACAACAAACATGTATTGTCTATTATGTGTAACTGTATGTGACCTAATTGGAAAAACTGGGGTGGCAATTAATCGGGTATATCGCAGTTAGTGTCCCAATTACCAGACACGACTTGGGCGAACCTCGGGTCTACGCCTACCACCTTCCGGGAACATACTCATCGGGGTTGGAGACGCGCTTCTCAACCCCATCCAGGTGGGCGATATCGGCAAACACCTGTAACGTGCCCTGAAACGTGTTTCTGTCGATGTCAAACACGGTGAAGGAGGTATTCTGGGGAGACCGCAGTGAGTCAACCGAAATTAGCGAGCTGAGCGCAAACGGCTCGGGCTGCAGCTCGTTCACCAGATAGTTCGTGAACCGTGTGATGCAGCCGCCATGCGTCACCACCAGCACGGTCCCCTGCCGCTCCTCGAGTCCCCGCGACACAATGGTGTCCCACTGCTTGCTGAGCCGCTCGACCATGTGTGTGTTAGACTCACCAAACGAGTCCCAATGGCGGTTTTCGTCTCGGCACCGCTGTCGGCCCTCCACGGCGGGCTTGTTTTCCAGCTCTCCCATGTACCGTTCTCGGAGTAGCGGGGTCCGCGCCGCCTTTGTGTCGATACCGGCGGTCGCCAGCAGAATGTCGGTGGTTTCGACGCACCGCTTGAGGTCCGACGTGTACACCGCCGAGATGGGGCCGTTGAATGGGTTTTTGGGATTCCAGTCGGTAGTGGGGGCGGCGGTAGGGGTTGACAATCTGTTCGAGTTACTGTTCCTGTCAGTATCCCCAACCGAGTCGGAAAAGTCCAAGTCGGCTCCAACGGAATCCCCGAAACCGGCCAACACCTCTCTGATCTTCTTGCCGCAGTCCCGGGCCTGTCTTCTACCCTCGTCGTTCAGAGGAATGTCGGTCTGGCCCTGAATGATGCCGGCCTTGTTGTGGTCCGTCTGACCGTGCCGAACAAGAATGATACGGAGTGGCGGAAGCGAATGCGGCATAGTTGTGTTTGTGTCTGTTGTGTTTGTGTCTGTTGTGTTTGTGTTGTGTTTGTGTCTGTTGTGTTTGTGTCTGCTGTGTTCGTGTCTTGTCGTTGTCGTTATCGTTGTCGTGTCTGTGTCTGTGTCCGTGTCGGTTAAGTGGGGGAAGAAGAAAGAAAAACGCAGACGGAAAATAGTGGTGATTTATTTATACGGGTGACCATGACATACGGCGTGTCATATATTAGACTTTAGATAAAGTTTAGGCACAAGCGTTGAAACCACAACGTCGTAAAATCGGTCTAAAAGGGAGTTGAAAAAAAACAAAAACGACAAAAACGACGATAGAAAATCTTAGTAATTTTTTGATCACATAAACAGAAGAATTTTGTATGTTTATATCATCATTTCCATTAATCACGGCATTATTTTATGTCATTATTTATATTAATTTATTTTCTCCATAAAAGGTTGCGCAATCTGAATAATAATCTCTTTGTGTGTACACAGCAAAGGAAAAAGTCTTTTTTAAGACCGAAAATAATGACCAAAAACTCCAGAGAAAATATGGAAATTTAGCAGAAAATGACCATGGACTCATAAAAGTCAGTTCACCGAAAGAATAAGTCACGTGATGTCAAAATTTCCAAAATTTTACAATTTCCATCAATTTCATTATGTGTATTATTTTTTCAACATTTTCTGTTAATTTCGTTTAATTGTCGAAATTTCGCCCACGCCCAACCATGGTTAATCAGAGTTACACTTAACGCACATTAGCGCCAATCTGAGTTGTTGGGGAGGAAAATTAAAAATAAATAAATTTGATGATAAAAATATAAAAATAAGGAAAATACGGAAAAATACCTAAATTGCAGAAAATCCATAGATAAAGATGAAAAAGTAACAGAATAGATCGAGCCCACTCCAATTTTTCAAACCTGTTATCAATTCTCAAACATCAAGTTTTACATTTTTGATCAATAATGTCAATTTATCCAAAATGAACACTTCACAGTTACACTTCATCACCGTACAGTATGTACTCGTACTCTCTGAATGGCGGTTAGATGAGCCACAAGGAGTATGAGATTGTAACTACTCGGGGACTAGATGACTTATCAAATAGAACCAGTTGGCTTAGTCAGGCAACGCTGGAATAGCCACTCCACGTTTGTGCTTACTCATCCCTCTCTTAATAAGATAAAATTCTCCGCGATTTTTTTATATTTTTTATCGTCAATAATTGGCAATATGCCCCCTCCATAGGTGAGACAAGACACTTTTACGAGATACTGTGAAACTAAAAAAAAAAAAAAAAAAAAAAAAAAAAAAAAAAAAAAAAAAAAAAAAAAACAAAAACCACATTAAACACCGTTGAAAATAACAGAATACTCCAAACATCATGTCACCAAGCTGCTTTCCCTCGTAATTGGGTATTCGTTATTAGTAATCATATCTATACGGTTTCACTAGGTTCATTTTGAACCGTATCTTAAAGAGCGACTATAGTTCCGAAGTTATGCCGATTTTTGACGCCGTATTTGTTGTGGCAGTTTTGATATGATGTAAGTACTCTTGTTACCATTTTGCAACTCCTCCTACAAGTAGTGCATTTTCTAGAATTTTGGAAAACTTGGATTTTTCTGAAAATTAATTCATTTATTTGAAATTTTCTCCGATTAAATTCGATTTTTTAAAAAAAATCCCCAAAAATCTGAAAAATCAAACAACTCCAAAACACCCTAGCCTCCACTCCCCCACCGCTCCTCCACCCCAGACTCATCTCTGGTGCATTCGGAACATGCAATAAATACGAACCCAACAATTTAATTGTTGTCAACGTTCTTCTCTTGTTTCAGAAAATTCCCATGTGAAAGCTCGTGAAACTACGGCCCGAAAATATGAACCGAATACGAGCCACCACTAGTGGTTTGTTGAAGTTGCGATAATATAACCGTCATTATGGGCACCGGGAAAGAACTAACACACTTTTCGGACGTTCGTTTAATCAGCACCACAAACTTGTATATACGCTTAGTCAGCATTTCGATCTCTGTTTAGTCATCTTACGATGATAAACTTCGGTTCCAACCATGAGTAAGCAATCTTACATAATCGACGTGGCATAACTCTAATTCTCTCTGTTGGGCAGTGGGCATGGACCTGATAGCGACCCTGGCGTAATCGCAACTCACGTGACCACCCTGTTTCACATGCAAATGACGTAAGCCAGATCTACAGCTGGGTGACGTGCCCAAAACGTCCTCGATGCGGTCTCCTTGCCGATCTACATCAGACCACAAAACGCTGTATGGATTTGTTGAGTGTGTTTCTAGTGATTATTCGGTACCGAGGTGGGGTTTTACGTAGTCAGCCGAAGAGGAAAGCGATTAGTAAGCAGCAACGGGGCAGGAGGGGAAAGTAGCTTATATAATACACTTAGTAAGCATGCCGAGGTTCCTCTAGTCTGCATTTTCCCTTCCAATTGAGCAGATTATTCATGACCCCCCGTCTACCCCACAATCCCGATATCATGTGAATACCGGTGGAACTTTAAATACTATGGGGGAGGGTGGATTTGGGGGGTTTGGGGTATTAGTAAGCTGTTTTTTTGAACGGCAAATACGCATTGAGGGCATTTAGATAGGCATGCTATTTTGTTTGGAGCGATTGCGGCGATTACTCAGCGTTTTGCGGATTCCTCCACCACATTGGTTGCTACATCATGTATGTCATTTGTGCTACACTTTGTTTCTACTTTTCTTCCTAACCTCTTACACATTACAACATGTCTTCCAACGATAAGAAAAAAGCCCCCAAGGCTCCCGCGCCTTCTTCCGCTGCCCAAGCGGCCGCCCAGGCACCTGCTGCCGCGAAGCATGATGCCGCTGCCGCCGCCGAAAAGGTGAAATCTGACGCTCTTAAGGCGGCCCATGTGGTGGGCGAAAAGGCGCAAGAGGCCAAGGAATCTGCCTCCAACACCATCAAGAATGCCACCAGCGGATCCGCCGGCGCAGGTGCTCCCTCTGGACACTCTTCCGGAGCCTCTGTGCCTTCTGGAGCCGGGTTTACCTCCACTTCTGGCTCTGTGACCAAACCGGACCTTAAGGCCAGCACTCACGCCCCCGCTGCGGAGGTGGATGCCGCGACCGCCCGAGACGAGGCCACCAAGGCCCGGATTCTCGCGCACATGAACCAGGACCACAAACTGTCGCTCAAGGACTACCTGTACCACTACGGCGGAGTGACGGCTACGGCACAGATTGCGTCGGTGACTCTGGTGGACATTACCTCGTCGGCGCTGGTGCTCAACTACTCGCTGGAGTCGGACCACCTCAATCTGCGAACCCTGTCGATCCCCATCAAGCCCGAGCTCGCCTCGCTGGCCGACGCCCGAGAGGTGCTGGTCAACATGGCCAAGACCGCCGCTGGCGCTCGGGGTTACTCACCCTTCCAGATCAAGGAGTTCAAGTGGGTGTCGGGCCCGGATATTCTTGTCCCCGCGGCTGTGCTCTGGACCGTTGTGGGCCTCGCAGACCCCAACCTCGTCTACAAGAACCCCAAGTCGCCGTTTGTGATTCTCGTCAACCTGCTGCTTAAGGCCATTGGACCCCTGCTGCCGTTTGACCGAGACCTCATTCCCCAGATTGCCATCATGGCCATGGGCGAAATCAAGCGACGTCGAAAGGACATTGTTAAGTGGACCGTCATCATCCACATTCTCGAGTCCTTCTTCTTCATGCGGCCCATTCTCAACAAGTACCGAGTCGCCAACCCCACAAAGCTCTACTGGTACATTGCCTGTATGATTGAGGGATTCCCTTCCCTTAAGAGAATCTCCAAGCTCGGCAAGTCTCTTGATAACCAGTAAGCACTGAAGATGTATGAACTGTAATGAACAATGAACTGTATGACATGTAGGGGAGATTGAACCTACCAAGGCACCCAGTAAGAGATATCGAATGTATACCAATCCTTTGAAAGCGGCTCCAAACCCCCACACGTTTCCTGTGGCGAACTGAGTCGACGGGTTGGTGTTGAAACCAATTACAAATTTGCCACATTCAACCGAGTTCGTGGTGTCAAAAAGAACTGTTTTCTTTACCGTCTCAACCTGCACCTTCTTTCAGTGCTTACAAATCCACAAATATTGATCTGATGGACACAAAATCACCACCAATAGAATCAGGGCAAAAAACAAACACATGTATTGACTCAGATTTTGTGTGGTATGTCGGCATCGTTCTCAAAGCGACGTTCACTTGAGACATCACATAATCTAGACATCAGTATTGATTTACCAATTATTTTTTTAGAATAAAAATACTGAAAAAAATACTGGCTTGAAATATTTATAAAATTAATTTAAATCAAATTAAAACTAAGACCAATATCCAAGTCCTGCCATCTCCTCATTGCCACGTAGTTGCTACTTACTCAATCAACCCTGACGATAGCCAACCATTGCGTCATAGTTATCAGAATGAACAATGAATGGTTGTCGATTTACAGCAGTCTACACCTCCATCCTATCTACCCCTACCGACCCACTCATAACCACCGAATACCATACACTATACAAATTTATGGTTGGAGCCACTCCGCTGTTGTTACGTACAGCGGTATCAGTGCCGTGCCGCAATGCCATGCCACCGCGGAACGACCGCTTCAGAGCCAGAGGCGTGCTTCACCCACCACCCCCTCCTCCAACTAGCCAGCCATGGGACATGGACTACCAGCTTACTCGTCGTCGTCATAACCGTGCTCCAACAGATAGTTGGCGGTCACTTCCTCGTTCTTGTCGCAGGCAAAGTACGCCTGAATGACGAGGTTTCGCTCAAAACCCAGAGCAGCCAGACGCTCGATAGCGTCGCTCTCCTCGGGAGTCACCTGGATCTCGGTGGTACCTTCGGGCACGCCGCCAGAGCCCTCCTCCAGACCCTCGCCTAGCAGGTGCAGGAATGCCTCCGAGTTCTGGGTGATGAGAGCAGCCAGCTGGGGGTTGGACGCCGCCAGCTGCTGGATCAACGGCTCCAGAAGATGAGGCTGTTGCTGCACCATCCGCCGCATCTCGATGAACTGCGGGTTGTCCCGCAAAAAGTCGAGCGCAGAGGTGTTGGGCGCCACAGACGCCCCTTGGCCCTGCTGCGCCACGGCCTCAGCAAACAGGTCCGTGTCCGTGTTGGACTCGGGCACGTCGTCGTCGGCCTCCTCGCCAATCACGTGATCGGGAATGCCCGTGAGCAGGTACTCCACGGCCCGCTCGGGGTTGTTGTAGGCGGCCCGCATCGCGGCCTCCACCTGGTCTCGGGGGTATCCCATGTCGACCATGTTGTTGATGGCGGTGGTGACGGCGGCGGTAGCAGACGCGGCGGGGCCAGATTCAGCGCCAATGTCGCCGGTGGTAGAAGCATCGGCGCCTCCGGTCGTGGGGGTCTCTGTGTTGCCCACAACGTTGCCACTGTTGGTGGGGGCTCCGGGGGTGGCCACCGACCGGCTTGTTGCTGGAGTGACGGGGGCAACAGCAGGCTCGGCGGCCGCAGGAGCAGCAGCAACAGGCGCGGCAGCAGCAGGAGCAGCAGCGGCGGCCTTCACCTTAGGCTTACTAATCATGCAAATAATGAAGGCGTCCTCCTTTAGATTGAGCGACTCGATGGAGGTGGTGTTGGCGAGAATCTTGCCGGAGTAAATCATCTTTTGGTCGCCCACGCCGTAATCCTTGCCCTCGGCGTTTTTGGTCTTCAGCGTCTCTACCGTGTCGCTAGGCTCCACGTCCACCGTCCACTGTTGGCGTTTTGTGTCTCTCAATTTGACGAGCATTGTGATGTGAGAGAGAGTAACTTGGGTTTGTGCACAAAAGACATTGGGGGTTGAAAGGTATAAAGGTGGTGATGTGGTGGTTAGGGTTAGGGTTGTGTATTTTTGCCACTGGGCCAAGTAGGGGCCATGGGGGCCTGGAAATTGGTGTGGGGGGATTTTGTGGGGGGGGTGTTAGTTTACAGTGTGATTTTTAGTCATTTTCATGGTCTCGTCGTTCGTTCAGATTGGTCTTCTGTTCTGTAGGGTGCAACACTTGGTGTACTGTGTGTATTTTACTTGACAATGTAATTCAAAAAAGTAGGATTAAAAATATAAAAATATAAAAATATAAAAATACAAATATATAAATATATAAAAATATAAAATATATATATATAAAAAAAAATAAAAAAAAACCAAGAGTTGTCTCTGGCTAATTTTTTGACGAGGAGATTCAGTGAAGGTGAGATAAGGGAATGGGCAAAAATTTGCCGTTTTGGGGGTATTTTGGTGAATTCAGGTGGTTCGGGTAGAAGTATTACTTCGAGATTCTGGCAAAAAATATTTTTAAAAAAAAGTTGAAAAGATATTTTTTTTTACTTTCAACAAAAGCAACAAATGTTTGGGGGCTTCTAGGGTCAGAAATTAGTATACTGATGGGCAATATAAAGTAGATCTTGGGGATCTAAACCCGCTGCCGATTCCGATGATACGATAATATCGACTTGGACTCATACGACAATTATTCCATCTAACATCTCCCCCATTATCACCTCCTTTTGGGTTGTTCTAGAACATTTTGGAAGAATCATTTTGAAGAAGATCGGGAGATTGACTCCGAGAGTGATAGAGAAAGGGAGCACATAGAAGTTGATCAGAAACATCCCATATCTCTTGAATTCGTCTTTACAGGCGGTTTTAATCATCTTTAACCATCTTTGACCACCTCTGACCACCTCTGACCATCTTTGACCTTACCACCTTTCACACATCCTTTCATCTACTGTACCGAATACGAGAACCCAAACGGAAGCCGCAATGGTCCTTTTTGAACAGTAAAATACTCGCAAAGACCCTTCTTTGTCAATTACCTCATCTCAAGCATCAATGTCGACACTTTATTTCCTCCTATCTGCTGTACTCAGTGCTGAGTAACAAGCAGTAATTACTCTAGGCTATTCCTACCTCTACCAAAGCCTAACCAAAAATCTAACAAATGTTACTCATCAGATAATGATAAGATCAACGATATCTCGAAATAATACTATTACCAACATGTATTATTATTGCAGTTTACTTTTGCAATCGCCTTTTCTCATTCGCCTCATATACGTCTCATATCGCTCTTATATCTGGAACACCGAAAATGAACCCCCAGCACAAACCCCAGTACAACTTGCCTTTAACAAATTGCAACAAACTTTGTCAACTAAAAAGCACACAACGTTATTCACAAAGTCTGAGAGATACCCAACATCCATACCATTTATAGCGTCGGCAAGCGCTGGCAAGTATTAATATCCTCTTGCACAATGAAAATACTCCCTAAACACTCTCTCCACGGTTGTCGTATCAAGTACTGTACAGTATGTACTTGTGAAGTACCATGGTCAAATTGCAATATATAAAAAGTCTAAGGTCACTCAAATGACAGTGTTGGCGGACCTATAAAATGGTGGTAGGATACTCCTCGTCCGCGGTGAGGAAAGAATCGCCCTCGTCCATCTCCCATTGAGGTTCGTGGTCGTAGTCCGAATTGGACGACGAAATGTCGGTGCCTGCAGAACGAGGAGCCATCAGCGCCGGGAAGACAAAGGAGTGCTTGACGTCCGAGTCTGGATCAGACTCGGAAAATGTCTTCCGCACCAGATCACACACATCTGTCTCTTCGAGCTTGCGCTTTCGGTGCCTGGTGGCCTGTCGGCCGTTTCGGATCCGCTTCTCAATGTTCATCCGGTGCTTGAGAAACAGAAGCTTCGGGAAGGCACATTGTTGACCTCGATACAACAAGTCCTCCATTTTCTCAGGCCACGGGTCGCCCAAAATATGCCAAAAGTCTGCCAGGTGGATTTTTGGCCATAGAGTGACAGACCCCGAAAACCGCTGCAACCACACATTGGTCCAGTCCTGGTCCACAAACCGAGGCAATAGCTCCACAGCCTTGATGAATTTGAGCCACTTTCTAATCTCCAACTTGATCATACTCTCCAGGGCAGCCCCCAGGAAGCCTCCTCTCCATCCCTTGCCCTTTCTATGGCTCACAGGACGACCCACAGTGCCTCGGGGCGCGTAGAAGAAGAGCGCAATGTGAGGATTCACCTGCGAGACAATGGAACAGTTGACATTGAAATATGTGTTGAGTGCATCCACAGGAATGTCGGTCCGCAAACTTCCGTCCTTCCACTTGGAACCAAACGAAAAGGGCACAATGTCGCCGCTCTTGGTCTTGTTCATAAGCATGACGGGGTTCAGAATACCGGGGACAGCAGCAGAGGCCAAAAGAGCGCTCCAAATCAGACAGTCCGGAGATGTGATGTAGTTGCACAGAATCACAGGCGAATGGGGGTCGGCGGGGACTGTGGACACGTTGAGAATCCGGCCTGTACGCTGGTACGCCTCCTTGAACGTCATATCACCCAAAGTAAACCAACACGACCGTCGGGCCCAGTCCACAGAATCGAACCGAGCCCCAGTGCGCCACCATCGGAACACCCACTTGGGGAATGGCTCCCAACAGGCTGTGATCTTATAGGCCAGTTCCGGAACCAAAATCTGACGCAGCTCTTCATCGGTACGTGTACAGGCTAAAGCAGCAATCAGAGCGCCTCCAGAGGTTCCTGAGATGATCTGCGGCAGCAAATCCTGGTCGAGCATGGCCTTAACAATACCAAAATGCAAGTAGGCAAAACAGCCGCCGCCAGAAAGACACAGAGCAGACTTTCCGAAATTCTTGCTGTACAGCCGGAAAAGATCCCGTTTCTCCTCGTCGTCAATCTTGGGGCTTTCCAGAACATATGTGACGGCCTTTCCGAGCTCCTCATTCCACTGTTCAACCACCTTTTTCGTTCCGTAATACGTCTGCGAATACAGAGTGGACGACTCGGTGCCTGCAAAGTTGTTTTTGATGCAACCCTGCAGGATGTTGGATAAGTCCTCCGCCTGGTCTTGGAGACGCAGCTTTCGAACCATCTTGGTGAGCTTGGAAATGGTCACGTGATCATAGTAGCCGAACTTTGGGTTTTCTCTCCATTCTGCGTTTCCCAGCTCAACGTCCAAGTCCTGGGCCGCCTGCACCCACTGTTCGTAGGTGCGCGCACCTCGTAGAACCTTTCTGAGCTTGGCTCTTTTGCCTCTCCAAGTGAGAATGTTTTCGTAGCCTGCCACCAGCACTCGGACAGAGGCGTAGATTGTGGTCAGAAACAGCAGCCACATTCCTATGAAGAAGAGCGCGGGCCACCGCATAAGCCAGAAGCCGATTCCCTCGCCAATCTCGTCTCGTTTCAGTTTCCGGCCGTCCTTGGTTTTGGAGAAGATGCTGAAAACGCCCAAGATTGACGAGAAAACGGACTTGCGCACCAGTTCTTTGGGCTCCTTGGTCTTGGTCTTGTCCCCCTCGGACCCCTCCTTGTCTTTTTTGCTCTTGCCTCTCCGTCGCTTCTCTTCCTTGTCGTACATGTCGAGATAGTGTTTGAAGTCGCTCTTGAGGGCTGTGTGGGACATTTTGCGCTTATTGACGCTGTTGTTGTTCTTGAGTACCGAGAAGACGGGCGTCCAGTCGTGCTTGGAGGTGATATACTCCTTCTGGACCGGTTCTAGAGGCAGCATTTCCTCAGACGAAACCGGCGTCGAAGACTCCACAGGAACCTCTTCTTCCTTGAGATACGCCGCAAACTTGTCCAGCGACGCCTCATTCACATATGTCTGGTTGTACCCGGGGATCTTGGTGATGTCCCACGGTCGCTTGAAGGTGCCGTTGACGTCTCGATCGTTGTCGTATCCTCCTCCGGGGCGAGAGCTGGTCTCCGAGCCCTCGGGAGAGTCCAGAGTCAGCTGCTGCGACTTTTGCCGCTTGACCCGCGGCCCGTCGTCCGGCTTATTCCACCGGAACTTGAGTTTCAGCATTTCGTCAACTGTTGTTTTTCTGGGTTGCAAGAGCAGAGTCAAGTGTAGCTGAATGATGCGATAATACATAAGGTTCCATGTGCATTGATAGCAATCCTAATTGGGAATTTCGCCTACAGCCCTGGAAGAAATAAAAGCGGCCCCAAAACAACAACAAAAGGAGATATCGACTTGGAAAAAGCCGGACTTATATACACAAACCGCCAGAAATACCCTCAAACTCTCAGATTACTAATATCTCAACCAAAACCCCAAGATAATACATCCCCATACTACACACTTCTCAAAACCTTACTGCCCCCAACAGACAGGCCTATAAGCATGGAACAACCAACATGACAGGTGGATACGAGCAGACGTAGACAAGCCGTTGAACACAAAGACAAGCCGAGACGCTGACGGCTCATCATCACGAGAATCCCATCTGCAATATCCCTGTCACCACCTTTTCAACCCTCGTCCCATGTAGTGTAGTGTAGATTGTTTACCTGGCGTATCTGGTTGCACCAAATGTTTCGGGTCTAAAATACTCCTCGGCTCGTTCACCAACTACAGTTTCAGGAGTTTAAAAACCTCCCAGTTCGATTCTCAGTCTTTCGAAATTTTCACCCATACACCGCCCCCTACGTTGTATACAAGTGATACCGGATGTATCAATCAGCATTCTTGTCCAAAACCAAGCTACATTAATCAAATAGATATCCTAATTTCCAACACCAAACCCCCTAACAAGGATCAATAATACCCTGCTCCTTCGCAATGTTCTTCTCAATCTCGTCGTTGAGAGTCTCGGGCAGAGGAGGCGCCTTTCGACCCACCAGCATGTTGGCAATGTCGCCAATCGCGTGCCAGTAGGAATGCTTGGGCCGTCGAGCCCCGTGCTCAGTCTTATGGGCGTACAGATGCGACACAGAGGTGTACTTGAACTTGGAGCCCCGCACACCGAGAATCACACAGTGATCGGCATTGTTTTTGGAGCCGTGGTGCTCTTCAATAAACTGCACGGCCTTGATGGCAAATCGCTGAGCACGCACTCGATCGGTAGGAGAGGGGTGTCCTCCCTGCTGCACATGGCCAGGGATGGCGGTTCGCGCGTCAAATGAACCCTTGGCCTCCTCGTTGATGATGCCGGTGATGACATCAGTGGTGAACACGTTGGATGACCGCTCGTTTCGCAGAAGCAGCTTTCCGGTTCGGTTCACGTCCGCCTGATGAGCAAAAGTATCCTTAAGGTAGGAAATGTCGTGCTGAAGAAGTCGCAGGTTGATACCGCTCTCGGGTGTGTACACCACATAGGCGCCGGTGATCAAACCAGCCACGGTGGCGATGTAACCAGAGTTTCCACCCTGCACCTCGACCACAAACAGACGCAGACGAGTGGCAGAAGCAGACGTCTTGAGCACGTCGCAGTACTGAACCAGAGAGTTGAGACAAGTGTCGGCTCCAAGAGAATAGTCCGTTCCAGGCACGTTGTTCGAAATGGTGGCAGGAATACCAACCATGGGGATTCGAAGAGCAGGGTAGGCGTGACGGGCATCGTCGAGCTGATTCAGCGCTCGGAAAGCCTCAAAACCACCAATGACGATTAGACCGTCAAACCGTTGTCGCTGAAAGTGGTATGCAATCATTCCAAGATCACATTCGGGCAGAGATCGGTTAGTACCAATCTCACAGCCACCCTTCTGACACAGGGGCTCGACCTCGAGCCAAGTCAGCTCCCGCACCGCGTCGTCACCATTCTTGACGAGGCCGGACCATCCATTGTGGATGGCAAACATTTGGTGGCCTCGAGCAAGACCGTACAGAACAGCAGATCGGATGGCAGCGTTCATTCCGCCAGCAGGAGCGCCAGTGCACACAATGGCGACTCGCAGGGGATCCTTGGCAGGCTCCTGGGGCCGGTCCTTGTCAGCAGAGTTTGTGAGCAGGAAACCCTGCAATTGCTCCACAAACTCGGGGTTTCGAAGCCGCATGGCCTCGGCAAAGTCCTTGTTGCCAATGGCATCGGCAACCTTCTTGGTGAGAGCTACAGACTCCACGAGCGGCTTGCGGGTGATTTTGTTCTCGTTGAGAGCAATCATGGGACTGGGCGTCTCTGGGGTGAGAGACAGGATGGCGTCGATAGCCTCCACACCCTGCAGTGAAGCCAGAACTCTATCAGCGGCAACTGGGGGACCTCCTCGCTGTACGTGACCCAGGGTGGAGATTCGAGTATCGAGTCCAATGCCGTCTAGCACATCCTTGACCATCTTGGCAGTGATGGGGTTGAGGTCCGAGTCGATTGCGCCCTCGGCGACAATGACCACGGTCTTTCGCTTGCCCTGGCTTCGGTGTCTCTTGACGACACGGGTCATCTTCTCGGCCCACTGAGTAGCATCGGGAGCAGCCTCGGGGATAAAAATGTAGTCGGCGCCGGTAGCAGTGCCGGCCATGAGAGCCAGCCAGCCACAGTGCCGACCCATAACCTCGACGACAAAGGCTCGCGAGTGCGACTGGGCGGTGGCATCGATGAAGTCTACCAGCTCGCAGATTCGGTCGAGCGATGAGTAAGCACCAATGGTGACGTCGGTGGTAGCCATGTCGTTGTCGATGGAGCCTACCATACCGCAAATGTCGAGGTGTCGGTGTCGTTCGGCCTGCTCGGCGGTGATGGAGCCATTGGTGACTAGCTCCTCGATTAGAGACGGCCATTCTTCTCGGAACAGATCGGCTCCGGTCAACGAGCCGTCTCCGCCAATGACAATGAGCGCGTCAATGCCGTTCTTGACCATGTTGAGGGCTCCTGCCAGTCGGCCCTCTCGTTCTCGGAACTCCTTGCATCGAGCAGTTCCAATAAGGGTTCCTCCCAGGGAGAGCCAGCCCCGTACGTCTTCCCATGACAGGGGCTCAATGAGGTCGCCACCCTTGACAAGACCCTCATAGCCCTCTCGGACAGCGTAGACCTCGCAGCCGCGGGCAATTCCGGCTCGGACCACAGCTCGCACGGCCGCACACATGCCGGGGGCGTCTCCTCCGGAGGTCATGACACCGATACGCTTCTTGCCCTTGATTTTGGTTTCATTGGGCTTTGAGAAGTTCTGCGGGCCAATGTCGTCAGCAGAGAAGGGTTTCTGCATCGCTGACGAGTAAGGGTTTTCTCGTCGGGAAAAGCCCACGAGGTTTCCCATGGGGTCAATGGCGTACAGCTCGATGAAGTTTGTGTGGGAAGGGCGTTCCAGAAGCGTGGAGTGGTCCTCGTGTAAGAACGGGGTGATTGCGGCTCGCACCGCGTCCAGGTCGGGGGCGTAGTACACCAGCGAGGGCACCAGCGACCGCCAGTCGTGTTTGAGGTTGGGGAGAGACACGTGTTCGTTTCCGTGGCGGGAGAGTCGCAATTTGACGGTCACAGACGGCACACCGGCTCGCGACGACGTGAGCCAGACCTCCTGGATCGAGCCCGCGCCTTCTTCGTCGGTGGCATGGTGGTCTGTTCCGTGCTTGTACTCCTTGGTGGGGAGGAAGCCCAGGGCCTTGTAGAAGTCCAGGGCGCGCACAAACTTGGGTTTTTCGTGTGTCACAAACGACGCAAAGGAGATTCCTTCAATCATTGTCGGTGTTTTGAAGCGCGGGGGGTTCAGTGTCCGTCTGTTTTGCGTTTGTCGACTATCAACTGTTGGGATACGTCTCTCTATATATATATCAGAGTTTGACGACACTCAAAGTTACGCCGGCCAGGTCGTATAGGTTTTTTAGAGTCGGTGCGAGCTGTTAGGAGCAGGCAAAAACGGCAACCGACCAACAGTTAAGGATTGTCTCAGCCGATAGTGAGCTGATCTGAGGTGTTTGAACCACCGCCATACGGCCCACTGGACGCTCCCGGTCCCCGTGAACCAGCCAATCATTAGACTCGGGCATGTACTGTATGATGATACATTTACATTATGCGTCGTGTGGGGTTGGGTGATCAAATCCAGTCGGCCTCGTCACACCGGGACAATCCAGGAACGCGGGCGAGGGAAAACTCCACGTCACGTGATTCGAATTGCTACTGGGGGGCCGACTCACGCCAACGGAGTTCCTATCGGGCTCCTGGTTCGTCTTCTAGAAGCTCTCCAATTGCCGCCAGTCACTAGCTCCACCCAACAACTCTATTGGATCAAGTTTTTCCGGGGTGCCAAAGATGGCATGGTCTATTTCCACGCTAATGTAAAATAGAACATAAAAAGTAACCATCGGATCAAAAGGTACCGGTACGAGTGTAGTACCAGGACCAAGTAGACAATGTGGACTCAATTGTGCGGAAAAGGTCAACTCGACGACCTGGAAATGTGGCGACATTGGCACTGGGCGTCTCCCCGTGCATTTGAAACCGCATGTGAGCAGCAGTACAGTGTGCTTGTTCGCACTGGAGTTGCTACCGAGGCAGATAACATGAGTCCAAGCTAATCAGTCGACAAGATGCTTCTCGTACCAAGGCCATGACCTGATATCCAACCATGACCTAAATGGCTCGTGGAAATCCACTCAAAAAAACGTCAAAAGAAAACTTTTCCGTATAGCCTGAACGAGGCCGTACCTCGGCAAGATAATCAGGCCATGCATGACGTCACTCGGGTGGATTATGTAAAGATCTGGAGCAATCTCTGCTGGGACGGATTGGTTGGTTGCTAAACAGCGTCCCGTCGGAGGCGCCCACAGGAAGAGAAGAGGGACAAGCCCAGTAACTGACCGGAAAAGTTGTCCTGCGGACGCAACCACGTGCCTTCTAAGTTAGAGCAACTGAAAGGCGGTGATCGGTGGCGTTGGTAAAGGGGAAGGGGGTTGTAGATTGTGCGGAGCGTGGGATCGGGATCACGTGGACCATGGCAATTGGTCACGTGACCGCAAACTGTAGTTGTTTGGCGGTGTGTTTTTGAAACCAATGTCACACAATCACAAAAATGTGGCTGAACTTGTTCTTTTACTGTGGGTGTACTATTTGGACAGCACAGCCCTCACGGTGTAATGGCGATAGAGTGTGAGTGTGAGTGTTGTTGTTTGAGGGACGTGTTGAATAGGGGTTCCGGGAGATGTCGACATGTCGGGGAGGGTCGATGGGTCGATAAATGTGATTGTGAGGTCCAATTGAGCCCAAATCAGGTTTTTATGACCGGTTTTCGGTCCATTATGCCCCTTTGACGACACGGTACCAAAGACCCCCTTCTCGCTTTCATCTCATGATCAGTCAACGGCAACTTTGTCATAAACTTTTTAATATGGGAGCCATGTGGGGAGGGAGAGTTATTAGAGGGAGAGTAGCTGTATATATAGAGATGCGTGGTGGTGACAAGGTCCGTGTGGTGACCACAGTTGTGACACAAAAACATTTTCAGCAGTATATATATATATATATATATATATCTCTCTCTCTCTCTCTCTCTCTCTCTGCGTGCACTTATCCTTGTCCTTGTTCGTGTATTGGGAGAGCTACGTAGTTGCGCTTGCACACTGAGAGCCAGACAAGATAGTTGTAGTGCTATATCGCTCACTCCCAACGGCAAACTCAAGTCACAGTATACACGCAGTGCAGCACAACTAAGAGCGACACACACCACACTATTACAGCACAAGTAACACACAACTACACTCTCCACTATGCCCGACCTGTACGAACAGTACACCATGGTGGATGATGATTTCGGAGTCAAGTCGCTGGACTCGTCGGACAATTCGCCCGCCGAGTCTGCCCACGACACCCACGCCGAAACTGAACACGACAAGACAAGCACCTCCGAAACGGAGTCTGTGCCCGAGGTGGCCACAGACATTGACATGCTCAAGTCCAAGATGCACTCGACAATGTTCGACGACGAGGCCGAGACCGACAGCGAGTTCGACTTCACGTGGGAAATCTCAGACTGGACCGCGCTGCCCAAACGGGTGCACTCAGACCCGTTTGTGCACAACGGCGTGCGCTACCGGCTGCTGCTGTTCCCGCAGGGCAAGAGCCAGGGTGAGGTCTCGCTGTTTCTGGAGGCCGCGCCCGACGTGAGCGACGGAGCGCGTGTGGATCCCGACTGGGCCGTTTGTGTCCAATTCAGCCTGGTCATGTGGAACCCCAACGCCCCCTACATTTTCCAGAACATGGTGGCGCATCACCGGTTCGACGCCGAAGACGGAGGCGACTGGGGCTTCTCGCGGTTCTACGACCTTCGACGACTCGCCGCCCGCCACCTCGACACCCAACACGCGCTGCTGGAACGCAACGTGATGAACATCACCGTGGTGGGCAGGGTATTCAAGGATCCCACCGGCGTTCTGTGGCATAACTTTCTGCGCTACGACTCCAAGCGTGTCACCGGCTATGTTGGCCTGCGAAACCAGGGCGCCACCTGCTATCTCAACTCCCTGCTGCAGTCGCTCTACTTCACCAACGCCTTCCGTAAAGCGGTATTTGGTATCCCCACCGGCGAGAACGACGCCGCCAGCGCCAAGGTGCCTCATGCTCTCCAGCGGCTGTTCTACCAGCTACAGACGTCTGACGAGCCTGTCTCCACACTGGAGCTCACCCGGGCTTTCGGCTGGGATTCTGCAGACGCATTCACACAGCACGACGTGCAGGAGCTGGAGCGGGTGCTGATGGACTCGCTGGAGGGATCTATGAAGGGCACCAAGGTGGACGGTGCGCTGTCAGAGCTGTTTGTCGGCCAGATGAAGTCGTTCATCCGGTGCATCGATGTGGATTACGAATCGTCGCGATCCGAGGACTTTTGGGACGTTCAGCTCAACGTGAAGGGCATGCAGGGCCTCGAAACGTCGCTGCGCAACTACATTGAGGTTGAGATGCTCGACGGCGAAAACCAGTACATGGCTGAGGGCTATGGGCTGCAGGACGCTCAGAAGGGTGTCTCGTTCCAGTCGTTCCCCCCAGTTCTGCATCTGCAGCTGAAGCGGTATGAGTACGACTTTGAGCGCGACTCCATGACCAAGATCAACGAGCGATATGAGTTCCCCCCCTCGGTGAACCTGGCACCCTATCTTGATCGTGCCGCTGACATGTCCGAGTCGTGGGAATACGAGCTGCATGCCGTGCTCGTGCACAGTGGCGATCTCAACACGGGTCACTACTATGGACTACTCAAACCTGAGCGGGACTCTCCCTGGTTCAAGTTTGACGACGACCGTGTAACACGGGCCACCAACAAGGAGGTGTTTGAGGACAACTTTGGTGGCGACGGGCTTCACAACCAGCACAACAAGCCGCTGTCGGCCCGACAGCAGCGCAACATGCGGTACAAGCGCCAGACGTCGGCGTACATGCTGGTTTACATCCGAAAGAGCCGTTTGGAACAGGTGCTTGGCAAGGTGCACGACTCGGACGTGCCGGCTCATATCCCGCAGGAGTTGAGCCAAGAGGCAGCCGTGGAGGAGCGGCGACGTCAGGAGATGGAAGAACAGCACCTGTACATGCCCGTCAGTGTTGCTTCCTTGTCTCAATTCCAGAGCCACCACGGTTTCGACACTGCGATCTGGTCTGGCACGTCCCTGGACGATGCTGACCACGCCGGAGTGCCTGTGTCTGTGCGTGCTCTCAAAACCTGGACTCTGGCGGAGCTCCAGGCAGCCATCGCCCAACAACTGGGACTGGATGACTCTGCGCAGATTCGGCTCAGAGGCTGTGTGAAGCGAAAGAACGGAACCATCCGGCCAGACGCCATCATCGTCTCTCAGTCACCCGACGAGACGCTTGAGCAGATTCGAGACAGGGTATCTACTCGAACCCCGGAGCTTCGAGTGTACGTGGAGCAGATCTCCAGCGACACTCCTGCCCCCATGCCTACGCAGAGCATTGTTTTTCTGAAGCATTTCGATGTGGAGACCCAGACTCTGGTGGGCGTGGGTCATGTGCTGGTAGACTCCAGCGATACGGTGGGCTCCATCGTGCCCTACATCACCCAGTCCATGGGCTGGGATGCCGCTACGCCCGTCGTACTCTTTGAGGAGATCAAGCCTCGAATGATCGACATTGTCAAACAGGACAAGACGTTTGACGAGGCCGAGATCCAGAACGGAGACATTATCACCTTCCAACGAAACGATGTGGCTCCTGCCGGTCGAGTGCGATGCCAGGACCCCCAGCAGTACTACGACTTCCTCTACAGCCGACTACGGGTCAACTTTGTGTCTCGCCAGGACCCCGAGGATGAGGATTCATGCGTGTCGTTGTGGCTGTCAAAGAAGGACTCCTATGACGATGTTGCGGCTGCTGTGGGTGATGTTCTTGGCCATCCCGGCTCCCACATCCGTCTGTATGTGACTAACAGCGACGGCTCTCCTCGAGCAAGCATCAAGAGCAACTCTGGCTCTCTCTCGGCCATCATATCGACCAACTACGTCTCCTCGCACAACCCTCTACTTGCGTACGACATTCTGGACATGCCTCTGGTGGAGCTGGAGACAAAGCGGAACGTGCAGGTTGTTTTTTTGCGTAACGGGCTCAGCACGGACGAAAAATACTCGTTCCTGCTGCCGGAAACTGGCCATGTGGGCGATATTGTGACATCTCTCAAGGCCCAGGCCAAGGGGCTGGAGAATGTGCCTCCCGAAGCGTTCAAGCTATGGTTTTTCAACAACGGTCGAAACACTCAGTACTTCAGTCTGCATGAGTCTCTGAAGCGGTTTCCCGACGACACCACGCTCCATGCAGCCGTTATGACTCCCGAGGAGCAGGCTGTTGTGAAGCACGAGGAACAGGTGGCTAGCCACGTCCCGCAGGTGGACACTGTGGACGAAAATGGTACTGTTGTCATGGCTCCCACTCCCGAGATCCCAGCTTGTCCCTACAAGTGGGTTCATTGCTTCCATTTCTGGAAGGATCCTATGCGACCCCATTCCATTCCTTTTTCGTTTGCGGCTGCCCAAGGCGAGCTGTGGCCCGATACCAAGCTGCGGCTCAAGCAGGTGACTGGTTACTCCGATCAGGTGTTTGACAAGATCAAGTTTGCAATTGTGAGGGACGATTCGTACGCCGAGCCCCACTACTTTGGCGATGAGGACGAGTTGTATGCCATGGTTGGCGACAACTTGTTGCTGGGTTTGGATCATGTGGACAAGACGCCATACAAGAAGGGCTACGGTGAACGGGCTATTTTCATCAACAAGTGAACGTCTTTGAAGGGTCCAAGTCTCAGGTCTGTGGAGGCTAGCAAGGAGGTCTAAAGTGACTCTCGACAAGTGAAGTAATTCATGATGTGATTTATGTGTTCAGGGGTAGAGTGTAGCGGGAGATACTAGTTCGAGTACAACAAGTACGCGTACTCTGTAATCTTTTTGTGAATCAGTGTAGTTTTCTACGATAGTACTCACTCGTACCCTGATGTATTCAATTCAAGTCGCCCACCATTATCTTGGATATTGTATCTTTTTTGTTACTTTTTTATTTTTTTATTTTTTTTATTTTATTTTATTGTATGCTTAATTTAATTTTTCAAGGTTTGGATTTTTTTTCAGGACCAAACTTTTGTTTGTTCAACCATCTACACCACGCTACACGACAATACACACAGCTATGGCAGGCCCTCGGAAAGGCGGCAAGGATGCCAAGAAGGGCATTAATCTTCCCGGCGTGATGCTGGACGAGCTGCGTGATCTCGGCTTGTCTTCGGATCGACCCCAGAGTGGCGGCAACAAACGCAAGGGCGGAGGTTCGCGAAAAGAGCAGCGAAAACAGGAGCGGCAGCTCAAGAAGCAAAAGGTGCACGAGAACAGGAAGACGTGGGAGGAGGAGCGCAGGGCTGAGTTGCGGGAGCGGGAGAAGGCCGGGTTGAAGGAGAAGCCTATGAAGAAGGAGAAGAAGAAGGAGAAGCCTGTGAAGAAGGAGAGGGTTGATAAGAGGGCTGTCAAGGAGCGAGTGGACACGAAGGTTGACGTTGACAACAAGTTTAAGGCCAAGGCCGACGACTCTTCTTTTCCCAAGCCGAAGAAAGGTCTTCTGCGACGTCCCACCACGCCGTCTAGTGGCAGATCAGTCACGTTTGCAGCCAAGGATCGGATCCGGGAGTTTGGGCATTCATTGGACGGTGAGGAGGGCCACGAGTACGAGCAGGATCCCGAGGAGCGGGCACAGATCAAGAAGAACACGTACTGGTTCGAGGACGACGAGGAAGACACCGAGGAGGATGAGCCCGACGCCTCGGAGATCAACCAGCGGGTCGGGGACGTCATGGAGGAGTATATGGGTAGAGAGGGTGATTTGGACCGGTTTATGAGTGACTTGAGAGAGAAGCAACAGCGAGATATGACTGGTAGCGACGAGGATGACGACTCTGGTGATACCATGAGTCTAGGCGGTTCTGAGGACCAGGACGAGGATAACAGTAATCAGACCAAGATGAGCCTGAGACGACTCAACTCTGGAAGCGGAACTGCCAATGGGGGATTGACAGCTCTTCGAAAACGGGGTCCTTTGGTCAATGAAGACATTCCTGGAGTCACTAGAGCGTCCAAGAGCTTTTCTTTCTCTGAAGACTACGGTTCTGACAATGCAGATACCGATGAAGATGAGGAGCTGGATGATAGCATGTCTGCAGCAGACACCATGGCTCTATTGGCCCAAAAGAAGGCTGGTAAGAAGACTGAGAAGCAGCTCGACGACTCCTTGTCTGTGGCAGACACCATGGCTCTACTCAAGGCCAAGAAGGGCAAGAGAAGTATTGAGGAGGTCGACTCTGAGGACGACTCTGGAGATAACTCTGGTGACGACTCTGGTGACGACTCTGGGGATGACTCTGAGGACTCCTTGGATGGAATTCCTCCTGACGACGAGCTTGAGTCGGACGACTTTGACAGTGATATCGATGAGGAGGACATGGTTGATTATCACGACTTATCTGAAGAGGAGGAGGACGACGACGACGAGCAATTGGATGATTCCATGTCTGTTTCCGATACCATGGCTCTTTTGAAGGCCAAGAAGGAGGTTAAGAAGGCCAAGAAGGCTGTGGAGGAGTCTGATGAAGAGGTGGATGATACAATGTCTGTGGCCGACACCATGGCGTTGCTCAAAGCCAAGAAGGCTGGTAAGGACAAGAAGGACAAGAAGGACAAGGACAAGAAGGACAAGAAGGAAAAGTCCAAATCCAAGCCGGTGTACTCCGATCTCGACTCCGCGCTCATGCGAAAGGATGAGGAGGAAATGAACTACTACGCCAAGAAGCTCGGATTCAAGGACGCCAAGAGTGCCAATTTCGGCTCCGACGACGAGCTCGACGGCATTCTGGACGGTCTGGATGTTGATTTCGGGTTCGACAGTGAAGAAGAGTCCGATCATGTGCCAGAATTGGTTGACGACAAGAAGCAGAAGAAGAAAAAGGAGAAAAAGGCAGCCAAGACGGTGAACAACGATCTTCCCTGGTCCGAAGATGAGGTTGACTCGGATGACTTTGATACAGATTCTGAAGACGATTCGAAGCCCAAGGTCAAAGAGAACCCCTATGTTGCTCCTGTGGCTGCCAACGCAGATTCCAGTCAAGCGGCGGCCAAATACGTGCCCCCTTCTCTGCGAAAGAAACTGGCGCTGGAAGTTGATCCCGAAACCAAGGAGATGGTTCTGATTCGTCGAAAAATCAAGGGCTCGCTCAATAAGCTGTCGGAAAGCAACATTGGCAGCATCATCAACGAGATTCTGCGTGTGTTTGACGATAATCCTCGTCTGCTGGTGACCACTGTTGTCACCGAATGTCTACTTGAAAGCACTGCCTCTGAAGCGGTGCTTTTGGAGACTTTTCTTCTGCTGCACGCAGTCATCGCCACCATTCTGTACCGGCAGGTGGGAATCTCGTTTGGTGCCTACTTTGTGCAGTCTCTGGTTGAAAAGTTCTTCACCAACTACTCTGCCGGCACCCATAAGGCCTGCTCTAACCTGTTGGCGTTCCTCACCGAAATCTACTACTTCCAGATGGTTTCGTGTCGGCTTGTCTACGATCTGATTCGAAAGTTTCTGGCCGACCCAAACGAGCGAAACACCGAGTATCTGCTGAAGATTGTGCGGTTTGCGGGCTCCCAGCTGCGTTCCGACGACCCCAGCGCCCTCAAGACCATCATCAACGACCTCCAGGCCTCTCTGGCCAAGACTGAGACCAATGCTCGAACCAAGTTCCTTGTGGAGTCTGTGGCGGCGCTGAAAAACAACCGACAGTCGCAGCACGGCATTTCCCAGGGCTACACCGAGACCAAGATGCGGCTCAAGAAGTTCATTGGCACCTTCAGCTCTTACACTGTCAACGAGCCCATCTCCGTGTCTCTCGAAGATATCGAGAACGTGGAGACTCGGGGCAAATGGTGGTTAGTGGGTGCTGCATTCAAGAACCAGGACCAGAACGAGTCCCAGACACACCGGGGCGACGACGACCTCGATCTGACCACCGTTCATGACGTTCTCGACGCCGCAGAGCCCAATTGGCTCGATCTGGCCCGAGAACAACGTATGAACACGGACATTCGACGGGCTGTTTTTGTGGCCATCATGGGCGCCGAGGACTACCTCAATGCTCTTGAGAGGGTGTCCAAGCTGCGTCTTAAGCGTGTTCAGGAGCGTGAAATCCCCCGGGTGCTCATTCACTGTTGTTCGAACGAGTCCGTGTACAACCCGTTCTACGCTCTTTTGGCCGTCAAGCTGGCGGAGCGGCATTCGCTCAAAATGACCTTCCAGTTCACCCTGTGGGACTTTTTCCGCGAGCTGGACGGCGACGACGACGACGATTCCGACGACGACTCTGACCGAGAAGAGTCTGTCAAGGTGCTCGAGGGCTCGGACAGCAAGGAGCTGCTACGAAAGACCATGAATCTGGCGCGAATGTTTGCCCAGATGACCGCCGAGGGCACCGTGGGCCTCAACATTTTCAAAAACGTCAACTTTCTGACCGCCTCGGAAAACATGAAGATTTTCCTGGAAATGTACTTTGTGGCACTGTTTGGCATGCTGGGCAAACGAGCGGAGGAGGGCAATGGCAAGTCACGGGACCAGAAACAGCTCGTCAAGCTGCTACTCAAGCTCAAAGACAACGCCTTGTTACTGAGAGGTATCCAGTACTTTGTCTCGGAGATTGTGGTCCACAGCGACCTCATTGTCAAAAAGCGAGAGCGACAGAGAGTTTTGTGGGGCCGAGACGTGACCACCGACATTGTCGACGAGCTGACCAAGGCCACATAGACTATAGATGGGTATTAATTGATCGTATGATGTGAGAGCATGGAACTACATGTAGTACAGTAGACAGAAATAGGCGCGTATAGAGTGGCAGATGTTGGTTAGAGTACGAGAACGGTATTGTACGGTACTGTACGGAGCAGAATAGTATTGAACAGAACAGTGTACATACAAGTATTGTTCTGTTGCTTCTATTATTGCTCTTCTTGACTACGGATTCCTCCAAAACCTTGAACAAAACCCTTCACTATTTCATTGCTCGATACGTTATAGTAGTTGGACTTACTTCAAGCTCCTCCATCTCACGATACCGAAAAGAAAAGCTGTGAAGAATCCGAAAAGACAGATGTATTTCCTGTTATCGCCGCTACAGTTGACACAAACTATTTGCAACATTATATATATATATATTCCCCAATGACCCCCAAATATCCGAGACTCCAAATTCTCTATTTTTTAAAATTTTTTTATAATAACAGAATATATTAAAAATTACTTTTATTTTTCAAAGTTGCTTCATTTCCAATACTTTGCTGTTAAAGAACCTATCTGACAGTCTACATCAACTCGATGGATATTGGTCATATCACCAAAAAAAGATATTCATTGTAATCAGGAGACTCTGATGAGTAATATTCTCACATATCATCTCCCCCTAATCCACGTGTCCGCATCCTGGACCTCCCCGTCGGTCCAGCCCAAACCCTGACGTCATCAGTGCTTATGCAGAAACTCTGATCTGAAGATACCGTTTTAACATATATATTTTTCTCCACTCCTCGACGCCACTTTTACTTAACAACATCACCACATCTACCATGACGTTATCGCCCCTACAACTTCGCAAGCTGCAATCGGACCCGTCGTCGATCCGAAACATCTGCATTCTGGCCCACGTGGACCACGGCAAGACCTCGCTCAGCGATTGCCTGCTTGCCTCCAACGGCATCATCTCTCAGAAGATGGCTGGAAAACTGCGGTATCTGGACTCGCGACCGGACGAGCAGGAGAGAGGCATCACCATGGAGTCATCTGCCATCTCGCTTCACTTCCGAACCTTCAGAAGAGATCCCAGCTCGACGGAAGAACCGCCCAAAATGGTGCCCAAGGACTTTCTCATCAACCTGGTGGACTCTCCAGGCCATATCGACTTTTCCAGCGAAGTGTCCACGGCGTCGCGATTGTGCGATGGAGCGGTGGTGCTGGTTGACGCCGTTGAGGGAGTCTGCAGTCAAACGGTGACGGTTCTGCGACAGGCGTGGATGGAGCAGCTCAAGCCCATTCTGGTGATCAACAAGATTGACCGACTGGTGGAGGAGCTACAATTGACTCCCGCCGAGGCCTTCACACACCTCAAGAAGCTCATTGAGGGTGTCAACGTTGTTCTGGGCGGATTCTACGCCTCCAACCGAATGGCTGCCGACCTCGAATGGCGGGAGAGCGGAAAGACAGGCACCTTCGAAGACGAAGACGACAGTGAACTCTACTTTTCGCCCGAAAAAAACAATGTCATTTTTGCATCAGCCATCGACGGCTGGGGATTCACCGTCGCCCAGTTTGTCGCCATCTACGCTGCCAAACTCGGAATGAAACGAGAAAACCTCCAAAAGTGTCTGTGGGGAGACTTTTACTTTGACCCCAAGACCAAGTCGGTCATAACCAGCAAGGGGCTCAAGGGCCGGAATCTGAAACCGCTCTTTGTGCAGCTAGTTCTGGACAACATCTGGGCCGTGTATCACTGCACGGTGATTGAGCGGGACGCCGACAAGAGCGCCAGGATCATCAAGGCCCTGGAGCTCAAGATTTCGCCCCGAGACCTCAACTCCAAGGACGCTCGGAACCTGCTGACCACCATCTTCCAGCAGTGGGTGCCTCTTTCTGTGTCCGTTCTACATTCCGTGGTTGACAAGTTGCCCGATCCAATTGTGGCCCAGGGCAAGCGAATGCCGGCAATTCTAAAATCCGTTGGTTATCCCGATCAAGAAGGCAATGGCGAAAACGAGGAAACCGTGTCTCAGGGCATGCTCACGTGCTCCACCAAGGCTCCACTGGTGGCCTACATCAGTAAGGTGGTTTCTATCCCGGAGGCTGATCTGCCCAAGAACCAAAAGGTGATGAAATCCATCGACCAGCTTCGAGAGCAATCTCGATTGGCAAGAGAGAAAATTGAGAACGGACAGACTGACGAGTCATCGGCTGCCGCTGAAGCTGCTCCCAAAGATGAAGTTGACGATCTCACTGCAGCATACTCTTCTTATGACTACGAGGAGGACTTCGATATTGGCGAGTCCAACTACGTTCCTCCTCCTCCCGAAGTTCTCATTGGTTTCGTCCGAGTCTACTCCGGTGTCATTCGAACCGGGCAGAAGGCCACAGTTCTGGGACCCAAGTACAACCCTGCCGAGCCTTCTAAGCACGTGCTTGAGGTGGAGATCACCGATCTTTACCTTCTGATGGGCCGAGAGCTCGTGACTATCGACCATGCCCCTGCTGGAGGTATTGTGGGTATTGGAGGTCTTGATGGTGAGTTTCTGAAATCCGGCACTCTCGTCTCTGACCAGTTCCGAGGCCCCAATCTCGCGGCGGTGGAGGGATCCATGACCACACCCATTGTGCGAGTTGCATTGGAGCCCGAAGACCCCACCCAGATGTCGCATCTTGAGGAAGGTCTCAAGCTGCTCAACCAGTCCGATCCCTGTGTGCAGGTGCATCTTCAGGATACTGGTGAGCACGTGATTTCGTGTGCTGGAGAGCTACATCTTGAGCGATGTCTCAAGGATCTGACTGAGCGGTTTGCCGGCATTGAGATTCAGGCTTCCGAGCCTATTGTTCCCTATCGAGAGTCCATTGTGGCTCACCAGGTTGCTCCTGGAGGCGAACCCGCTCCAATGCGAGACGCTGAACTTGGACGAGGAGTTGTTACTCTGGAGCTCGAGGAGGAGGGCCATGTGGATCTCAAAATGCATGTGACCCCTCTTCCTCAGGCGGTGGTGACATTTTTGATTTTCAACCGAGTCTCAGTCGCGGCTCTGGCCGGTGTCAAGAGCGCCGAGGAGGAAACCGAGGATTCGTCAGTCAACCAGAACATTCTCAACAAGGAGGACTTTCAGACCAAACTGGCCGAGATTCTCGAAGAGGAGAAATGCACCTTTACCGTCGACCAGATTGTGGCTTTTGGACCCAAGCGTGTGGGTAGTAACATTCTGATCGATAATTCCGAATCTGGTCTTCTACGACGTTTCTTTGGAGCAACCTCCGACATTTCGTTCCACCAGGATTCCATCCTGACTGGATTCCAGCTGGCCACTCAGTCTGGACCTCTCTGTAACGAGCCTATGCAGGGGGTGGCAGTCTATCTTGATCTCATTGACGACCCCAACGATGAGCTGGCCGGCAAGCTCATATCTCCCTTTCAAAAGGCAATCTACACTGCCTTTTTAGACTGGTCGCCCCGTCTCATGTTGGCCACCTACTCGTGTGAGATCCAGGCGTCCACCGAGGTGCTGGGTAAGGTATACTCTGTGGTTACTCGGCGTAAGGGTAAGATTGTGAGTGAGGAGATGAAGGAGGGCACTCCATTTTTCACCATTTCTGCCACCATTCCCGTGGTTGAAGCATTTGGCTTTGCTGAGGAGATCCGAAAACGAACCTCTGGAGCAGCCCAGCCCCAGCTCATTTTCGCAGGCTACGAAACTTTCGATATGGATCCCTTCTGGGTGCCCACGACTGAGGAAGAGCTGGAGGAGCTGGGAGAGACGGCCGATCGAGAAAATGTCGCCCGACGGTACGTGGACAATGTGCGGGCTCGAAAGGGTCTCTACGTGGAAAAGAAGCTCGTTGATGGAGCCAATCGACAGCGAAACCTGAAGAAGTAATGTATAGATATGATAATGTATAGATATCGGGAAGTTTGAGAGGAGCGAACATTACTATGAGCATCTGGGTGGTATAATTGACAGCGCAGAAGACGTTTACAAGTGTTGTCTTAATCAAGTCAATACTTCCCCAGACTCCATCTCTACATTGCACCTGAACACAGTGACATCGATTCTAGCCTGCGCTATGTACTGTAGAATATTGACTCGTATAGATACGATATCAGTCGTTGGTTCATTTTGCACATGAAACTGAATCGGTCATTTCTTCGATTTTCTCAATTTTCACTCGTTTTAAATATTTAAACTTTTTATACATATTTAAGGTTGTTATCGTGCATATTTGTGACAAATTTTAATAATTAACAGCCATATTTTTCCACCGACCGATTGCCCAAGTAGGATTTTTATTATTATTATTCGCAGTAATTTCTCACCACCACAATATCACAGATTCCGCCTGCAGTTGGACTAGGAATTTTCGTCAGACATTACAAAAGAAGAAAAAATAAGGTTAAGCGAGTGAATGCTTAATTTAGCGACCCGAACGCTTTCTGAACTGCAACAACACTCCTATCAACTCTGTATAGTACTTTACTAAAAAAATAACCCGTTTTTTATTTTTTTAAATCTCCAAAAAGATTGCAGCACCCAGGATTCTCGTATGGTCTCCCACTACAATACTAACTGGGCTCTCTGGTGCTTGACTATGGCTGATCGGACGGGAAGCCGTATTTTCACCAGGATATGGCCGCAACCGTGCTGTGTAAGAGATCAAATCGACTCATAAGGTGTGCTAAGATTAGTCATCGATCTCTTATTAGAGAAATAGTGAGACGTCCTTTAGGACGTCTGGAGGATGTCACGTGCCTCGCACGTGACCTTGAGGGGTTACCCGGATGCTAAGGATTACCCTGTGATGGGGACAGTATAAGTAGGATGTTACGTTGTATTTTAATGTATCAAGTTTATTGCCAACAACTTCCGGAGTACAGGTGGTACTCCATAGCAGACCAACGGTCCCCGCTGGTGTGAGCTGAACTACTGACTAAACCTGATCCGGGTTCTGACATGCTGGAGGATCTGCGATCGACCCATAAGGTGTTGTGTGCTTAGACACCAGGGGGCCGCGTGGGATCTTAGGATGAGGAGCCTCTCTACTGGTTGCAGTATACGTAGCAGATGACGTGTATTTTGATGAATCAAGTTATATGCGACGGGCTTCCGGAGTGTCAAGGGCTCGACATTTTGGTAGAGCCCGCTGATCTAAGCAAACTGCTGAGTAATTCCGATACTGGTTCTTTACATGTGCTCTGCTGGTGGCTGGAGTGTTTAGATCTGCCGGAAACTCGTACTACCTTTCGGCTTGACTCAGGGTCTCGTGTTGCGATTGACAACATGTTGGACAGCCAGACTTCATGTGCGCTTTTTTTAAGAGGAGAATCGAGATGGATCGGAGATTCAGGATGATCTATGTTGAAGGCTTGAACAATCAATTCAGTTGAACTGCTCTTCGAAATGCTGAAGAGGTTCTGTTCGCCTCTATGAAGTACACGGAAGAATATTGTCCGGATCTGTCTCAAAAATCGGTCAATCTGCCTATCAACAAATGTCAGCGGATGATGGACGGGCTGTTTGCGATCTCTGGAATAAATTATGATATAGAAAAGCATCCGGTTGTATATCCTGCGGTACAGTGAACAGAAGACACTGTGGAAGCTACTTGAGCTTGACGACACCCTTGGAGACACCCTGAACAGCATTGAAGATGAGCACTTCTTGGCCCTCCTGTAGATCGTCGCGGGTCAAGAAGCCCTCGAAAATCTTGTTCGAATCGATCAAGTGACGTCGAGTAACTCCCATCAGACACCCAGACGTCACCTTCGGAGTGGTCCACATTTCATTGACCTGAACCGCAATGTTGGTGATGGATCCCTCTGTCACGTGGCCATTGTCGTTCACAAACAGCACCTCCTCGACCATGGGCCTGGTGATGTACGCTGCTCGTGCGTCATTGTATTGTTGTCTCTTTGTGGTCTTGAAGCACGTGAAAGGACCCACTGAGATGGGCTCTTTGGCCACATAGACGTCGTATGTCGGCTCACTGTTTGCAATCTTTTCAAACTCCAGCAGGTCCGGCTTGGGGCCCACCTTGGACGTCTCAATTTTCATGTTGCCCGAGGAACCCAGTAAGGCTCTGATTTTGAGTGGGTACTGTTTGGCAGGCCGTTTCTTACCATCGATCTCCACCTCGGAGCTGTCAATGGCTTTGAGAATATTGTGCAGTATCGCATGGGGATCTACCTGGACATTCCAGCCGAAGAAGGCCACCGACACCTTCAGTCGCTCCATGTGGTTATGAAACAGCCAGATCGGGCTGCATTTGGAGTTGAAGGCATTTCGCTCGGATTCAGACATGTCTGCAAAGTACCACGGCTCAGCCGAGCGGCCGTTGAGCTGGTCGTCCACAGTAGAAACGTCCAGAGCAGGGTCCCATCGCATGGTGTTGATGATCTCAAAGTCCTTGTTTTCCGTGCTGTTGAACTCGAGCTGGAGGGTCTTGGAGAAGTTGGCAATCACTCGGTCCATGCTGGCCTTGTCTACAGGCAGAGCGGCCACTGCGTCGAATTCAATGTCGCTCATCGTGTCTGTTTGGAGTGTGTTTTGGCGGGTCGATAGCCGAGGATTCAAGTGGTGTAGGCGGATAATGTCACAATGGGGCGTGGTCTCGGGTCCAGAACCGGTCTTTTGGTGTCTTCAAATGGCTCAGAACGGTCACATCAATGGATGTGGCAGATACAACGCATATGATGGGGTTAGGGGAGGTGGTAGACGATATACAAGTACAGTATGTAGTAGCATATGGAGACCCATATTAAAATGCATAAAATGCGTTTTTTTAAAAATCTGAAATTTCAGTCAAAAAACATGGTGCCAAACAAATACTGTACGTACTGTACTTATATAATCATCCGCTACAACCAATATTAGATTCAATGACGCAATTCACCTATGATAACTCTTACCACCCCCAATTTCCGTCGTGGTAATTACTAACAACGTTCCCAACCAGTTGCTAACTCCTAACGCCTATTCGGCTAACTTTCGGGAGACCTCTTCCGTCAATTGAGACGATCACGTGACCAAAATACTTGTCCTGCGACAGATTCTTTCTTGCAGGTTCCCGTGGACCAACTTGGTATAATCCGTTCTCTTGTAACATCATTATTGCTCTCAATATTGCCAGCAAGAACAGCGACAAAAAAAAATAAAAAAACATCCACGATATGCGCCATCCTGCATACTGAACTCTATTTAACGCCGTTGAAAAGTACCATCGTACAGGTGGATCGATACAACACCACAAAGGAAACGGAATATCGTCGAAAAACCCCCCCTCGAACGTAAACCAGGGAATTTTCCGTCTTTTGGTTTTTTTCAGATTTCCTTTCCCGTCTATAATTGATCTACAACAGCTCCCTATTCTGCGGTTATCATGCACTCCACCCCCACATTAGTTTTAGTATTTTTCAAGATCGATTTTCACCACCAACAATGCCCCTTTTAGTAACACCAGCTTCATTTGTCGTCACAATTACCTCTCCCTGTCTTCCCCACCTCCCTCCAACACCCCCTTAGCCTCCAGTAACCACCGGTGTCACCCTGCACAATTACAAACAAAGTTCAACCATATATAAATACCATCAAGCCACGCGATAGTATATATTTCCTGTGCATCTCCCTCCTGCTTGTCTGTTCTTGCAACATCTCTCACAATCAAATGACACAAACGCACAATCTGTTTTCGCCAATCAAAGTGGGCTCTTCGGAGCTCCAGAACCGGATCGTTCTCGCACCCTTGACTCGAACCAGAGCTCTGCCCGGAAACGTGCCCTCGGATCTTGCCACAGAGTACTACGCACAAAGAGCAGCATCTCCAGGCACTCTCCTCATCACCGAGGCCACATACATCTCCCCCGGATCTGCTGGAGTGCCCATTCCAGGAGACGGAATCGTTCCGGGCATCTGGAGTGACGAGCAGCTCGAAGCATGGAAAAAGGTGTTCAAGGCCGTGCACGACCGAGGATCCAAAATCTACGTCCAGCTGTGGGACATTGGACGTGTCGCATGGTACCACAAGCTGCAGGAACTGGGCAACTACTTCCCTACAGGCCCCTCAGCTATCCCCATGAAGGGAGAGGAGAGCGAGCATCTCAAGGCTCTGACTCACTGGGAGATCAAGGGCAAGGTGGCCCTCTACGTCAACGCTGCCAAGAACGCCATTGCCGCAGGCGCTGATGGCGTCGAGATCCACTCGGCCAACGGCTACCTTCCCGACACATTTCTGAGAAGCGCCTCCAACCAACGAACAGACGAATATGGAGGAAGCATCGAGAACCGGGCCCGATTCTCGCTGGAGATTGTCGACGCTATCACCGAGGCCATTGGAGCAGACAAAACCGCCATCCGTCTGTCTCCCTGGTCCACTTTCCAGGACATTGAGGTGAATGACACCGAGACCCCCGCACAGTTCACATACCTGTTTGAGCAGCTGCAGAAGCGAGCCGACGAGGGAAAGCAGCTGGCCTACGTGCATGTAGTTGAGCCCCGACTGTTTGGTCCCCCCGAGCCCTGGGCCACCAATGAGCCTTTCAGAAAAATTTGGAAGGGTAACTTCATTAGAGCAGGTGGATACGATAGAGAGACTGCTCTTGAGGATGCAGACAAGTCAGACAACACCCTGATTGCCTTTGGTCGAGACTTCATTGCCAATCCTGATCTCGTCCAACGCCTCAAGAATAACGAGCCTTTGGCCAAGTACGACAGAACAACCTTCTACGTTCCAGGTGCCAAGGGCTACACTGATTACCCTGCGTACAAGATGTAAACAGTACGATCTATAGACATATAACGCAGATACATTGATTTAGAATGTCACCAGTACAGTACGATAGATAGCTAACTGTTGTACAATCCATATTACCAAGTAGAGCTACATATATATATACAGTTCATGCCACCGACTGCCCATTGGCATCTCGCATCTCCTTAACATATCTCTGACAAGTGGCATCAAAGTTGCCTCCAGTCTCCATCTCAAAGCCGGGATGGCCCGCCTCAAGACGAAGACGTTTGTTGGTGGTGGCAACACGGCCATCGTGAGCAATCTTCTTTTTGAGCCAGTTCTGGCAGTAGAACGAGCCGTTGATCTCAGCATCAAAAGCAATAAACTGTTGGACCTTCTTGTTAGATCCATAATTGTAGACCAGACTCTGAATGTCCCGCAGCATATCCACAATAGTACTGGGAGGAATGTTGGCCTGGGTCTTCAATAGTTCACTGAACTTGACCAGCAGATCGAGATTGATCTCGTTGGGAGTCTGTGAGGGAATGTTAGAGTAGGGGTGCTTGAGCGACTCACATTCATACACAAAGTTATTGGTCCAGAAGTATGTGGAGTCCACGCACTTGGGCCGATACTGATCGAAGACCGATCGCCAGTTGAAGCCCTGAAGACGAACAAGTTTGGCAACCTCCACTGCGAGAACAGGAATAATGTGGCTCTTCTCACAAGCCGTCTTGTTCTGGACAAAATTCTCATAGACCACGTTCTCCGACATTGTTTCCACCTTTTGCTTCTTGGACTTCCTTGCACCCGTATTGCAGTTGTCGATCTGAGTGATGGTGTCGACGAGATATCGGACCGTCTTTTTGATGCCATGTTGTCGTCGGTAGAACTGTAGGTAATTCACGGTGGCCTCTTCCAGCAAACTTCGCGATTGGGTCTGCTTGTATGCCGAGTTCAACACAGCTGAGTAGATGCTTTCTGCCAGGTCCAAGTTGTCCTGGTTCTCCTCAAAAATAGCCCAGTTGAAACGAATCAAAGGCCGGTTAGTAGGGACGAAAACCGTGCTGGCTTGTCGAAATGCCATTCGAACCTCGTTCACACTCTCCAACCCCACCAGCCATCTAGTGTATCTCAACCAGAGCTGGTCCAACGATGCTGCAGGCACTAGTGCTCGCAGGTAGATAGACTGGACCTCCGAGACCTTGAAATCCAAGTTGAATGGCGCCTCCTCAGGTTTCAGAAGCGTCGACTCCTCGTAATCGAGATACTCATTCCACTTGTGCAGCTGTTCCTCTTCCAGAGGAGCCACATGGAAGTAGTTTCGAGTGATGGCCGACTCATGGTTCCACTTGTCCATGGTTCGTTTTTGTGTTCGTTCGAAAATCTTCTTTTTGAGCAGCTCCATCATCTGTGATGTGTCCATGGCTGCGAGCTTCTCCTTGGTCAAGAATCCCCCCTCCTCATCCTTCAGACCCTCGTAAGTGAGCTTTTCTGGTCTGACCGATCCCCCGACCTTGACAAACTCCTCCCAATACCGTGCGTACTGATGCAACGGAAGCAAAATGATTCGTTTGAGCCACCGCAGCTTTCCTTCATTGAGCACCCCCGTGTCACGTTCCTTTTGTGCTTCAAACTCGAGAGCCACATCCCAGAATGGATGCGACAAGAAATCCATTCCGCAGGCGCGAGATCCAGCCTCGATGATTGAGCGGACGGCCTCAGGGTCCTCCAGAATCGACGCAGCCGCAGCCACGTAATCCGTCCACAGATCGACCGATTGTGGGAACGCCTCGACGGACTTTTTGTGTACGGAGAGCACTTGCTCAGACGACCCGACAGAGTTGAGATAGTCGACGTATTTCTTCCAGTAGCCAAATAACAGCGGATACTTGCGTAAAAATGTCTCGTAAATGAGACAGGTTGGTTGGTGCACCTTTCGTGGAGGGGCCACCTGTTGTGTGATGTTTACCAGCGCTTCCCACGCCTCGAAAGAGCTGGGGTCTTCAAACACGGCCAGGTTTGCGGCCGACCATTGTGGCGACGAGGTCAGAATATCCGTGGATGGTCCCAGAGTCGAAATATCCATCGTGTATGTGTGTTGTTGTAGTTAGGGGTGTTTGGAGAGATGAATTAAGGGAATAATTGTAGGATTAAAAGTCTAATTGGAATTAAATTTCAACATCCAACTAATTAGCAAGAAAATAGAATTAAATACAATTAAATTAAACTAAATAAAATAAAATAAAATAAAATAAAATAAAATAAAATAAAATAAAATAAAATAAAATAAAATAAAATAAAATAAAATAAAATAAAATAAAATAAAATAAAATAAAATAAAATAAAATAAAATAAAATAAAATAAAATAAAATAAAATAAAATAAAATAAAATAAAACACAATAAAATACACTTAAATTAAATTAAATTAAATAAAATGGACATTCCAACAGATTGATTTTTTGTAGGTTACCGGTGGTGATTTATTTTGAAAAGACATTCACTCACTACTGAGGACCAAATTTTTCGTAGTAATGACAGTTGTCAAAAATCCGTGGTTCTCGCCGTTTCCTAAGGGATTAAAATCAGTTTTAGTGAACATAATGTTTGCCCCTTCTGGTTGTTCTTGTCTCGCTTGAGAATAAGTCGCCTGAGGGTCGGTGTAAGTAATGGTGCCGGATGATGATTCAGCTTGATTAGTAATCCCATCACGTGATCTGACAGGTAACAAGACGCCCGTAAGTGTGATATTGGAACAGTTTCAATTTTAGAGAATGAATAGAGAGATCAAGGCTCCATTTCAATTTCATTTTCCCTGCAGCTCCAACAGAGACACAGGTCCTGAGAGCGCCATTGCATCAAAACTTCTACGAGGATTCGGAATTCTTCGTGCGCCACCCTTCATTGCAGCAAGTTCAAGTGATTGAGCGTCGGTTTACTGAGAAAAGTTGCATAGTTGAAGAAGTTCAAGTGATTGATCTACCGTAGAGAACTTGAGTCTCGATCTACCGTAGAGAACTTGAGTCTCTCCTAATTCTCACTACTATATCGATGATCTCGAGGGAGTACTGCAGTAGCGGTCTCAAGCGAGGGTCCAAATATCGGTCGTTAGTTACCACAAAGCAACAGAAACAATGTGTCCAACTTTCTCTTTTATTCCGGTGATAATTGGTGTCGAGGGACCCTCCAACATGTTCTCTCCTGTACATACTACTTTAGAATCTTTTAATATCCAACCAAACTCTAAAAATTTAGTAAAGCAAGTTTAACCACTAGACAACCGGTTGTACATTATTCACGCATGTCTCGACATCACCACCATCACAACTTGTCGACATGTCCAGCTCCGGCAACCGAGGCAATGGTAGCAGTGCGCGCAACGGCCAGGGGGCTGCAACCCCCCGTGAGCCCGACCAGCGAAAGTCGTGGATCCAGAAACTGCTCACCATCGGCGCCTTTTACCTAGCCATGAACCTGTTCATGCTGTACATGAAGAACCGAAACCAGGACGCCGTTGCCACCACCGAGGAGCCCGATCTGACCGTGTCCGAGGCAATTTCCGCCGAGAAACTGTACGACGAAGCCGCCCCGCCTTTCCCCGAGCAGATGCGAGCTCTGTGGACCGGCAACCAGCCCTTCACCATCACCGTCCATGTAGTCGATTCCGACCAGCAAATGCGCCTGCCCGTGTGGGACCTCGAGCTGACCGGCCAAAACTTTTCCAAGGGCTTCTCTCTGTTTGAAACCCTCGACTTTACCCTACCCAAGGCCCTGACCAACAACAACGGCTCCCTGTACGCCCACGTGGCTCTCCAGCGAAAGGATAGTGATCTGGTGATCAACAAGCGAGTCGATCTGACCTCCTACTTGCCCAAGAAGAAGGTCGTCCACAAGAAGCTACTGCTCAGCGAAGAGCACGAGGAGGAGGAGGAGGAGGAAGAGGAGCTACCTTACTTGGAACGACCCCTGGTGCCCAACATTTACCCCAACGTGTCGATCGGTGTCATCTACGATCTCGGAAACGGTGTCCCTGCCAGCATGCCTCCTGCAATTTCTCAGCATATCATCTCTTCTGGTGACCGAGACTCATCCGGTAAGGTCTCGTTCATCTACCCAATCGTGTTCAACAACGAGTTCTGGCAGCTCAACTCCAAAATGATGGAGCTTGGAGAGAACTTGGCGGGAGAAAAGTTCACCCTACAGCTCAACCTCTACTCCACCTCCTTCTTCTGGTTCCAAATGTTAACCAACATGGATCATTCCTTCAAAGAACAGGCTAGACAGCAGGGAGGACGAACCAGTGAAGTTGAGCAATTGAAGGTAACTCTGCTCGAGTCCAATCCTTACTTGCTTGCAATCACCGCGATCGTGTCTGTGTTCCATATGCTGTTTGAGTTTCTGGCTTTCAAGTCTGACATCTCTCACTGGAAGAACAAGACGGATACCATCGGTGTGTCTGTGCGATCCATTATTGCCAACGTTGTCATGCAGAGTATCATTTTCCTATATCTGATGGATAACAACGACGAGACGAGTTACATGATCCTGCTGACACAGGGCATGGGTATTCTGGTTGAAGCATGGAAGATCAACAAGGTGGCTGTCTTCTCTTTCTTCGATCCCCCCAAGGAGCAAAAGAACAAGAAGATTACTAACGTTTTCGGACTGGGAATTGTGTACATTCAGGACAGGAATGAACTGTCCGAGATTGAAGAGCGAACCAAGGAGTACGACTCTATCGCGTTCAAATACCTCTACATTGCGGCCGTTCCCCTCATTGGTGCCTATGCAGTCTACTCCGTTATGTATGTGCCCCACAAGAGTTGGTACTCGTTCATCATTTCTACTCTGGTTGGTTCCGTCTACGCCTATGGATTTTTGATGTTGGTGCCTTCCATCTACATCAACTACAGACTCAAGTCAGTGGCCCACATGCCCCGAAAGGCCATGGTATACAAGTTCCTCAACACCTTTATCGACGACCTGTTTGCCTTTGTCGTCAAGATGCCCCTGCTTCATCGAATTGCCACTCTGCGGGACGATGTAATCTTCTTCGTGTACATCTACCAGACCTGGGTGTACAGAGTCGACTACACTAGAGTCAACGAGTTTGGTCAGGGAGGAGACGACGAGGCTGCGGAGATTGATGACGAGAACAAGGACAAGGCCCAGCTCGTTGGACGAGAGGAGGCTAAGAAGATCAACGAGATCACCGGTACTTCTACTTCTACTGGTGTCGAGGCCCAGGAAGGTATTCGAAGACGGTAAATAGTAGTTTTTTGCGTAATAAAAGAACATCACCTAGCACGGCGAGAGTACAGTATGTACAGTACCAGCCGTGAACCTACCAGTTGATAAACACACGACGCGATGCGAGGTTATCTGTCGTTAACTTCCGACTTTCAATTCCTGGCAGCAGTCCGAACGAGTGGAAATGATGGTTGCTGGGGGCCCTTTGGTTATCTGATATTGTCAAATGTCACGAGTGACTACAGGTTCTGTTATCAAAACCGCGTCTGATTGACAGATTCTCTCCGCGCAACCTGGTTTCAGAGTGCGCTTGGATCGTCATTGAAAATTCATCATCACATTCATTAACTACTAACATGAGCAAATCTGTCTATGCTGTTCCAGACAGCTTGTCTATCGGCTCTTCCACATCCAAAATCCCAATCCCAATCCCAGCGAAACCAGCACCATTATGTAAATGCCACTGATGAGCCAATGCACAACCGTCGCCAGCAGAATCCCTGTCAGCAGCCACTCCAACGAGCGCGTTCGTGTCGTTTCAAACTGCTTGAGCTGCTCCTCATGCTGTCGCAGCCGCGTATTCAGCAGATCCAGATGTTCTTCGAAGTCCTCTTGCAACCCTGGCTTGTCGTCCGTCAGGCTCAGGGCAAACTTGTAGTACCTTTGAGCATGCGAAATGAGCCCAATGATGGCGATGATGTTGTGTTCCGCGGATTCGGCGTCGGTAGACACCAAACTGTCGACATCCACGCTGTTTTCTGGATAGAACTCGTCCATTTCTGGTGAGGAACAGAGACGGTAATTAGCCACAGTAGACGGTTAGCCACAGGCTTAGGCTAGAAAAATGTGCTACTGGTGGGAGACGCGTGGCAGTGAAACTAGGGGCCTAATAGGGGGCTCCAAAGACGGGTAAAAGAACGTAGAGAGGGCAATTAGACCCCGAGGTCAGACAAGATTAAAGTGCTATAAAACTCGCAGTAACAATGTGTGTTTATGAAAGCATATATCACCAGATGCTGTAAGTACAGTATGTACAATAGGTATGATTAGATCATCTATAGGAGGATACTATGAGTAGCACGAGACTTATTATAGTGACGGTAAGCCGAAATAATAACAAGAGCTGTCGTAGAAAGGGATGTCCAATAGGATCGAGCTGACTAACGTGCACGAAGGAAATCCGTTCTGGGAGACGGATACTGGCAAAAAGGGCGATTGGGGTGATACAGACGTGTTTAGTCGTGTTTACTTGTAGGCACAGTATATAAAGTAATTATCGATGCAACTATCGATCTTTTATCATACATCATACAAGAACAACCACTGGAGCAATGGACGTGGATGTTGTTGCAGATGCAAAAAAAAACTGTAAAAAAACTGACTGAACCCATACAAATTTGGTATCACAAAGATATAGGGGTTTTCAAGCCCTTTTCTGGTTCTTTTACTAGTGGCATTGTGGCGTAATCGTGTTTGTTGAGTTCTTTCTGTTGGGTCAAAAATAAAAAACATATCCCTAGTGAAAAATATCCCAAGTGAAAAATATCCAAGTGGAAAATATCCCAAGTGAAAAATATCCAAGTGGAAAATATCCCAAGTGAAAAATATCCAAGTGGAAAATATCCCAAGTGAAAAATAATTATGTATTATGTAGAGAAACAAAGTCTACTTGTCGTTCGACGAAATTGCAAAATGCTGAAAAACTGAACAAATCCCCCCATTTTGGTAAAAACCATTGCCATTCTTACTGTTGTCTCCAACTACAACAATGATAGGCCTGGATGCGCTCAGTGTTGGTGTCTTTGCCGCCGCCCTCTCCTTCTACGTCTACCCTCTCCCATCTTTTACAAAGACACATGGACCAAGTCTCTCTATAAGAAGGACAAGCGGCTTCCTGGCTGGGATTTCGACTGTAGCTCTTTCCACGAGTTCCTTGACCTGTTACAACGAGGCCTCCACTCTGCCCGTTGATGGGAAGATTGTTGACTCTGTCCTCGACTCCTGTCTGGGATCGCTACTGTCGTACTGATTACTGATTTCATTATTATGCGACTAAACAATCTCCTTTTCCTCGACTCGAGCGCTCTTGGTCTCACTCTCCCCCTCACTTTCGTCCGAATGCTGGACATCGTTCTTCACCCGGTTGATCTTGGTGTAGGTGGAGCCGTCAGGCAGAGTGATGATCTGTTCGACATGTTTGAAGCCTCCAAACTTGGGCCAAACCACAGCCCAGATGTAGTAGTAGATACCGCAAAGAAGGATGATACCGATTCCAACCACACAGTAGGTGGCGTACCAGAAGGAAACGTCTCCTCCGTTGGCTCCTCCGGGGGGAGGCACCCAAGGAGCCGCCAAAAGGAATAGCGACACCAGGAAATAGAAGACGGCGACGACCGTGTATGCTCTGAAGGGAGCTCTTCCAAGACCGGCCTTTTGTCGTCTTCGTCGAACAATGAACAGTCCTACCACTAGCAGACACAGGAAAATGTTGCTGGGATAGGACTGGAGATCGACCACAAAGTTGAAGGCATCGCCGGGAGGAGGAGCCACAATGACAATGACTGTGAGAATGAATTTCACCAACAGAGCTCCACCGGGAGTGCCGAAGGGCCATGTGTTGGTCCAGAAGTTGGGCCAGGGGAGAACACCTTGACGTCCAACCTCCCGCACAATACGAGAATGTCCGATAGTCACAGCCAGGAGGTTTCCAATAGAAGACACAGCCACAAGAGCAGGCAGCACACGCTGTCCAGCGCTCTCGCCAAACACATTTTTGAAGAACAGAGCGGCAGTCAGCAGGTTACTGTGTTTGATCTCTTCCTTAGTGACCGCTGCAAAATATGCGACAGCACACAGCATGTACAGGACTGACACGAGGGCAAGGGCCACAGATCCATAGATTTTGACCGTTCTCACGGCGTCGGGGATCTCATTTAGGACGTTATTAGCGTTGTTCCAACCGGCAAAAGAGAAGATGATCTTGACGAGAGCGTTAGCCCAGACGTTGGCATTTCCAGTGGTTCCCTTGAAAGGGTCCTTGAAGTTATCTCTGGGGTTTTTGACACGGGTGTGACCTCCCAGGACCACCAGGCCGGTGATGGCCACAAAGAAGAGAATGATGACCTTGACATATGCAATGACGTTCTGTAGACGCATGCTCCACTTGTTGCTGACCCAGGACATGAGACAGACGCCGGCAATGGCTGCAATTGCAATTCCTCGCTGGGTCCACTCCGTCACCTCTTGGTTTGCTGCCACCAGAACGTACTCGGAGAAGACAATGGCATTTGAGGCGGAGTAGGACAGCAGAACTGAAATGACGGCAAAAACAACGGGCATGAGATATTTGGGCTTGGGAAACGCCTTTTCCAGATAGGCCACGTCGGCACCAGCTCGTTTGGGGTACATGCTTGCGAATTCGGTGTAAACGGCAAATCCGGAGAACGAAATGATGATTCCGGCCAGCCAGAGCATCAACGACGCTCCAATGGAGCCCACGCCTTTCAAAATGGAGCCAGGGGTGACAAAAATACCCGTTCCGATCATCTGAGAGAAATTGAGAGCCACCACCGTGAACTTTCCCACATGCTGACCAAGAGGAGATTCTTCCTCTTCCGGTGCTCCGATGATCGACTCGGATCGGACATCGGAGTGGATTTCAGAAACGTGGATTGAGTGGATACTCTCGGAAGACGTTCCCTTGTTTTTTTCCACGTCAAATGGAAACATGCTGCAGTTCGATAGATGGCGAGATGCAAGGAGGTTCGTAGTAGAAGGGGAGCCAGGATAAACGAATCTGCTGATAGGTTAATGGGATCCAGATGAAGGCAAAGGGCTTTCAGCTGCGTTTTATTGGACTAAAGGTGGCTTATGTTTTGGGATATGTGGCTTTGAAAACGTGGTTTGCCAGTGATATCCAAACCCAGACTTGATTGTGGCTTGGTCCGTGGGATTGATTTGAAAAGCAGGTTACTGGTCGTATTCACCAATTCTGCTGCCTGTAGGCTTTAGCCGCTGCTTTCCGGGGAATACATCGAAATATCACCTTGATACAAGAGGCGTTTGATACCATCCGCTTTCGCCAAGCTGGTTGAGAGATAGACTGCTTGTTAACAGACACCTTCCCGGGTGGTGTTCAAGAACGGGTAAAAGTGTTTCCATCTACTCCAAAAGTGGATAGCGGCCGTCGTAGATACCATCCCACAAACTTTTCGAACTTATTGGATCCACTCTGAGTTGCGCACTCGTACTATCGTGGTAGTTTTGGGTTGCGCGTGCAACAGGCCAACTACGGTTTTCGTGTGGCTTACGTGTGGCTTGAAAGAAAACATGGGGAGATAAGCCGAGTTTACTTGAGATAACGAGGGTCTTTGAAATCGACCCGGACTCACTTCCATCTGTTAGGGAGATACTCATGAGAGAGTGGCCAGAGAAACTGCCTGGTAGGTGGTAAGAGGGTCCCTCAACAACAGATCAATTCTCGTACGAATGGAACCTGCTCTGAGATGGATTTCCTCATGATACATCAGCCTTCCATGGAATCAAATCATTTACATTTAGTTATGGTATCACTCTAACTGGTTCTACCGTTCTACTTGCAGCTCTCTCCAGTGGCTGTGGGTGTGGCTTGCGACGCTTGATTTCCGTGGTGAATGTGCGGAACCAATCGTGTCCGGTTTAATCCAACCCGTCTTATATTTCAAGTGGAATCTGGGTGTCTTTGGGGAAATGGATCATTGCTACATCTCGTATTTTGCACATGGTCCCGTACAGGATGTACCTGCTTTTAGCCTCGTTTTAGTCTCCAAAGTCCCCACCTTTCCGTGAGACAAGCCAAGCGCTTCGTCCGCCTCTTGGTTTTTGCTATTCTACCCGTACTTCACGGTAACGTCCCATTCATGGGTTCCCCTGGTCCATCCCATTCATCTATGTTCTCATGGTCCAGTTTTTCATCACGAATCAAACAAACATGTGCGGCAGAAGTCTACAAGACGGTATATACGGTATATACACACAGCAAACCAGGCCAGCACAACAACAAGAACATTTTCATTCTTTTTTATAATCAAATATACCCCCAATAACATCCTACTTGCTAGCGAATACGAACTCAGACACTAAATGCCACTCAGACAGTGTCCATCAGTGCCTTCATTGTGGCGTATATAATTCGCCATAATAGAGTTGGATTAGCTACAGTTTTTTTTTTAAGCGAGAATCTGGATAGCTATGCTGGAGTGAGGGATGCTGTTGGGTATCATGGCTCAATCAGCACATCTACCCCCGGCTAGAAGTAACTTGGCTCGTACTTCTTAGTCAGCTGCCGTCTTGTCCAAGATCTCTGCACGTGTGGTGGATATGACATCATATGTCTTGGCCTCATCGCATGCGCATACTGCATTGGGCTGCATTGGGACTTGGATGAAACTTCGGACCAAAGCGGCGCAGGCAGGGCTTCCAATCAATATTGAATGAACAGAGCCGGGGTCTAGATCTCCATAATAATAGCATCTGTAAACGTGAAACACTTATCCACAATTAGTCAGAACTTTCCTGGGCGGCATAAGGGTGCCTGTATCGGCCGATATCGTAATTCCGATCTGCAAATGGACAGAGCATCTGAACTGAACCGCAGATTCGAGGAAACGAGGAGTTCTGGCTTCGCTATTACATCAGCAGGCCTTGGAAGGTGTCTGCTCTAGTTCATCAGATAACAATGGGTCGAGTCGCAATCGCCTATAAACTTGGTTCCTAGGTTGAGCAAGTTGATTACTCTTGCCGGTGTAGTATATTTTTTAAAGAGTGGAAATGTTTCGATTTCGATTTTTGTTTTTCCTTCGGAAGTCAAACTGGCATCACATCTTTTGGAGAGCCTCCAGTTGCATTTCAAAAGTGGCATCTCAAAAAAAGCGTCGAGGTCAAGACTCACTTGCGGTCATTTTCCGCTCCAAGGCAGTCGACTCACGTTTCGACTGACAGATCTCTCTTAAGAAGATTCTTGTGATTCAAAGCCATCGAGATTATCGACGCCCTTCTTCTAGGTAGAAGCGTTCAGTACCTGGTCGGACATAAATATTACCGATACTGTAGACATGGTGTGACTGGCCCCACTGATGTTCTTCCGAAGGAGTAAGTTGTTTCTTGGACCAATTGTTATCCTCAGTATGCCACTGCTGTTTGTAGAAGAGGTCCTTGATGCCCTCATGACTATGCAGTGTTCGAACCACGAATGACAACAAAAATCCCCCAAAAAAATCAAAAAAAAGAAGAAAGATCCAACCCCGATTTTCCAGACCAAATAACAAGCCAAAGAAACCCCAATAAGATCTTCGGATGTAACTCACACACCCTTGCGTGGCGGGGGAAGGAGACAGATTGGACAACAGAACCAAAACCACTAACAGTTGATCTTCCAAGACTTCAAAAGGAGTGAAAAGATAGACATAGACAACTTTTCAAGTCTTTCTTGATCGCAATTATCGGCATTTTTACCCGCTTCTTTTGAGAGTAACCCCTGGCTCGGACCTGAAATGACCCACAGTAGTCTACCTGAGCGCCAAGGCCACAAGAAACACATACCGGGGCTATCTCGACAGTGTCTGGTTTCAACCAAGGCCGATATTTGGACGAAACAATTCATTTTTGCAAACATTCTAAATCGCGTATTTCGCCTGGTACTGACTCGCGCAAATCTTGAGATTTTGACCATTCGGAGTTTGTTGACTAATCGTGATTTTTGAAAATAACGGTGGTACGAGAATAGAAATTGTATTGTGAAACAATTCAGCTTAGGCCCATTATGTCAATACCACTCTTTTCTCTATCCGTAATTATTTACAATGTTTAATGGTCCATCAAAGGTGCCAATTATTTTTTTTTACCTCTAGTTTCGCGTTTTTCGGTTTTTTGTAAACACCCAAAATGTGAGAAATCTTCGAAATAATAAAAAAAGTAAAAAAAAAATTATCCTGAAGTTGATTTAATAAATGCGATCTAAGAAAGGAATCTGAGAAAGCACCTCTGCGGAAAGAAAAGAAAAAAAATGTCAAAAGTCGGAAAACAGTCGAAAAACGAAGAAATTGTTGTATCATCCAAAACATCGAAGCTGATGATTATGAAAGATCGCACATGTTTAGATAGCTAGAGTCCACTTGGAGATATTTTAGGGGAAGAGGACAAGTATCTCCACATCTTACTTGCTCCCTTATTTGACTACGGTACAACCAACCCTACAAGTAGCTACAAGTAGTGTACTCGGACAGTTTACCATTAGCCTTGGCACTAAAATAATTAACGGTGATGTACCTTGATATATCGAATCGATTTGAGCTGGTTTCAAGTAATAGTCTTGTAACACAGAAATGCGTGATTCACAATGGCTTTCTCCGAGAAAGAGAAATACAGAAACACACTTGCATTTTGTGTTCCATGATGTTCCAATACAAAGAAAGTAGTTAGAGTTCAATTTGCCACCGTATTCGGATAACCTTATTTAAATATTCACAAGTGAGCCAACCCCCCAATAATCCACTCAGATCATTTGATTCAGACAAGCTTCATATCAATCTCCTCTTAAAACAATAGACGGTTTATTCCTAGTTCGGTTTTCCCGTCTCACTCCGCAGAAGTTTCCCGTTCTTCGTGACATTTCTCGAATCTTCGACAGAGCTCTCTCTCTTTCGTTTATGCAATGATCGACACTAATATTTGCCACTAATGCAACTCTGACAAGGTCTTTCGAAACTCAATCACACACCTCCAGCAGTATTTAAACCCCATCTATCGCCCAGTTTTTCCATCATCAGAAGTCGATCAGTCTCTCAGCTTTTGCAGAGGATTTGATCACTTCGAGAGATGCTGACACTGATGAGCGAAAGCTATGAATCAGTACTTGTCTTGCGCGAGCGGACATTCACTTCACTCCTACCATGAAGCAACTTGAGTTCTCTTTTGTTACCGAGTTGGAGAATCAGCACACCTCTCTTCATGCATCTACGGAATGGAGCTATGACGAGCGAAAGATTCGCAATCTACTCAGGAGCTCCTTCTCTCAGATGGTTCGCAACCACGGGTGGAATTCCCAGCATGAACAACTCTTTGGGGTCTGCTCTACTGGTCCTGTCGCAAGACAGTATTCCAGAAGTTGCTGAGCGGAAGCTGCAAAGCCTCTGCTACGATGCAACTGTTGAGACTGATTAAAAACGCATGAGCGGGTAACTAAGACGTGAAGCTGAGCACAAGCTACGAAGCTACCGAGTGAAAGGAAACCCCTCAGTACATGCACTAAGAGGACGCAGGGTGATGACGAGTTGGAGACTTAGCAAGCCCCTCATGAATCCTGTCTCCGTGGATATGAAGCAGTGACGGACACGGAACATTGTCCATGAGCTCTCCGACAGTATGGGTAGCTCCCTTGGGTGCAACTACCTGCATGGATAATAACTCCTGAATGCTTTGGGGGGATGGACTGTCGTTTGAACAGTCATATGTCTCCCCCATCTGCTGCTGACTTGGTATCAGCACACCAGGAATCACGGTTAAGAGAACCGCTGACACACGATCCGAACCTGATCCAGCTTTTTCCGCCTGAGCATAAGCGTCTGCAAAGACCGCCACCGAGCAAAGTGTTTGTGCCCAACCTGCCAGACCGCCAGAGCAAAGAGCCAGTCCGAGCCGCAAAGAGCCAGAACTAGAGCCGCCGACCGACAAATGCCAACAACAGAACACTA